TTTCCCTAGAGATTGGTACTAAAGTTGGTACAGTTCTAGGAGCTCCTTCTGTGGTGTAATCGGTAATACCCATTCGGGTTGTCTCTTGAGGAAGGGCCGTCGTTGTTTCAGAAGCCGATGTTGGCATGGTTGTTTCCCTAGAGATTGGTACTAAAGTTGGTACAGTTCTAGGAGCTCCTTCTGTGGTGTAATCGGTAATACCCATTCGGGTTGTCTCTTGAGGAAGGGCCGTCGTTGTTTCAGAAGCAGATGTTGTACTAGTAGTTTCCCTAGAGATCGGTACTACAGTTGGTACAGTTCTAGGAGCTCCTTCTGTGGTGTAATCGGTAATACCCATTCGGGTTGTCTCTTGAGGAAGGGCCGTCGTTGTTTCAGAAGCCGATGTTGGCATGGTTGTTTCCCTAGAGATCGGTACTAAAGTTGGTACAGTTCCAGGGGCTCCTTCTGTGGTGTAATCGGTAATACCCATTCGGGTTGTCTCTTGAGGAAGGGCCGTCGTTGTTTCAGAAGCCGATGTTGGCATGGTTGTTTCCCTAGAGATTGGTACTAAAGTTGGTACAGTTCTAGGAGCTCCTTCTGTGGTGTAATCGGTAATACCCATTCGGGTTGTCTCTTGAGGAAGGGCCGTCGTTGTTTCAGAAGCCGATGTTGGCATGGTTGTTTCCCTAGAGATTGGTACTACAGTTGGTACAGTTCTAGGAGCTCCTTCTGTGGTGTAATCGGTAATTCCCATTCGGGTTGTCTCTTGAGGAAGGGCCGTCGTTGTTTCAGAAGCAGATGTTGTACTAGTAGTTTCCCTAGAGATCGGTACTAAAGTTGGTACAGTTCTAGGAGCTCCTTCTGTGGTGTAATCGGTAATACCCATTCGGGTTGTCTCTTGAGGAAGGGCCGTCGTTGTTTCAGAAGCCGATGTTGGCATGGTTGTTTCCCTAGAGATCGGTACTAAAGTTGGTACAGTTCTAGGAGCTCCTTCTGTGGTGTAATCGGTAATTCCCATTCGGGTTGTCTCTTGAGGAAGGGCCGTCGTTGTTTCAGAAGCCGATGTTGCCATGGTTGTTTCCCTAGAGATCGGTACTAAAGTTGGTACAGTTCTAGGAGCTCCTTCTGTGGTGTAATCGGTAATACCCATTCGGGTTGTCTCTTGAGGAAGGGCCGTCGTTGTTTCAGAAGCAGATGTTGGCATGGTAGTTTCCCTAGAGATCGGTACTAAAGTTGGTACAGTTCCAGGGGCTCCTTCTGTGGTGTAATCGGTAATACCCATTCGGGTTGTCTCTTGAGGAAGGGCCGTCGTTGTTTCAGAAGCCGATGTTGGCATGGTTGTTTCCCTAGAGATCGGTACTAAAGTTGGTACAGTTCTAGGAGCTCCTTCTGTGGTGTAATCGGTAATTCCCATTCGGGTTGTCTCTTGAGGAAGGGCCGTCGTTGTTTCAGAAGCCGATGTTGGCATGGTTGTTTCCCTAGAGATCGGTACTAAAGTTGGTACAGTTCTAGGAGCTCCTTCTGTGGTGTAATCGGTAATTCCCATTCGGGTTGTCTCTTGAGGAAGGGCCGTCGTTATTTCAGAAGCAGATGTTGTACTAGTAGTTTCCCTAGAGATCGGTACTACAGTTGGTACAGTTCTAGGAGCTCCTTCTGTGGTGTAATCGGTAATACCCGTTCGGGTTGTCTCTTGAGGAAGGGCCGTGGTTGTTTCAGAAGCCGATGTTGGCATGGTTGTTTCCCTAGAGATCGGTACTAAAGTTGGTACAGTTCTAGGAGCTCCTTCTGTGGTGTAATCGGTAATTCCCATTCGGGTTGTCTCTTGAGGAAGGGCCGTCGTTGTTTCAGAAGCCGATGTTGGCATGGTTGTTTCCCTAGAGATTGGTACTAAAGTTGGTACAGTTCTAGGAGCTCCTTCTGTGGTGTAATCGGTAATTCCCATTCGGGTTGTCTCTTGAGGAAGGGCCGTCGTTGTTTCAGAAGCAGTTGTTGGCATGGTTGTTTCCCTAGAGATCGGTACTACAGTTGGTACAGTTCTAGGAGCTCCTTCTGTGGTGTAATCGGTAATACCCATTCGGGTTGTCTCTTGAGGAAGGGCCGTCGTTGTTTCAGAAGCAGATGTTGGCATGGTTGTTTCCCTAGAGATCGGTACTAAAGTTGGTACAGTTCTAGGAGCTCCTTCTGTGGTGTTATCGGTAATACCCATTCGGGTTGTCTCTTGAGGAAGGGCCGTCGTTGTTTCAGAAGCAGATGTTGGCATGGTTGTTTCCCTAGAGATCGGTACTAAAGTTGGTACAGTTCTAGGAGCTCCTTCTGTGGTGTAATCGGTAATACCCGTTCGGGTTGTCTCTTGAGGAAGGGCCGTGGTTGTTTCAGAAGCCGATGTTGGCATGGTTGTTTCCCTAGAGATTGGTACTAAAGTTGGTACAGTTCTAGGAGCTCCTTCTGTGGTGTAATCGGTAATACCCGTTCGGGTTGTCTCTTGAGGAAGGGCCGTGGTTGTTTCAGAAGCCGATGTTGGCATGGTTGTTTCCCTAGAGATCGGTACTAAAGTTGGTACAGTTTTAGGAGCTCCTTCTGTGGTGTAATCGGTAATACCCATTCGGGTTGTCTCTTGAAGAAGGGCCGTCGTTGTTTCAGAAGCCGATGTTGGCATGGTTGTTTCCCTAGAGATCGGTACTAAAGTTGGTACAGTTATAGGAGCTCCTTCTGTGGTGTAATCGGTAATACCCATTCGGGTTGTCTCTTGAGGAATGGCCGTCGTTGTTTCAGAAGCCGATGTTGGCATGGTTGTTTCCCTAGAGATCGGTACTAATGTTGGTACAGTTCTAGGAGCTCCTTCTGTGGTGTAATCGGTAATACCCATTCGGGTTGTCTCTTGAGGAAGGGCCGTCGTTGTTTCAGAAGCAGATCTTGTACTAGTAGTTTCCCTAGAGATCGGTACTACAGTTGGTACAGTTCTAGGAGCTCCTTCTGTGGTGTAATCGGTAATACCTATTCGGGTTGTCTCTTGAGGAAGGGCCGTCGTTGTTTCAGAAGCAGATCTTGTACTAGTAGTTTCTCTAGAGATCGGTACTACAGTTGGTACAGTCCTAAGAGCTCCTTCTGTGGTGTGCTCGGTCATTCCAATTCGAGTTGTGTCTTGAGGAATGGACGTGGTAGTTTCAGAAGCCGATGTTGGCATGGTAGTTTTACTAGAGAGGGGTGTAAGTGTCGATCTATCGATCGGAACTACAGGTGGTAATGTATCCATTCGTATATCTATGGGAATTGTTGCTGATTGGGATTTCGTAGATGTTTCAAAAGAAATTGATTCCGTCATTGTTGGAGCTGTGCTTGATGTCTGTTCAGTGAAGAGTGTTCTCGTTGTATTTGCATCGGGGATAATAGTGGTCAGATTTTCAGCTAAGGATATTGGGGTATTTGTTTCTGTGAATGAAGAACTGGATGTATCTGAAGGGGTTGGTGTAGTTTCAATTGCCAGGTGCTTGGTAGTTTTATAGGACTCCGTTGTAGTGTTATAGGAGACGGTTGTTTCGTCCTCAGCTTCTATATCGGTATAACGAGTTCGCATTTCGGTTTGATTTGCCAATTGCATAACCGTGTACTTAACACTGACTGATTCCGTTGTCGTTTCGATGGGTTCGTCTGTCACATTGGTCGGTATGCAGTTCGGGGTAGTACTGTTGTTCGTCGAGGTCTTGGGGCATATGCATGTAGTAACCTTATGAGCAATAGTGACGCACTTTATCGCGTCCACACAGAGTGTGTGACAGGGATCGATACATTGACCAGACGATCCACATTGTTGCGCTTCACTGCAATCTTCGTGTGAGGTACAGTTGCCACCTGGCATATCTGCTTGGTTTTTGGTTTTGTTTTTGTTTAGATAATTTTGGGTTTTGAGTGGAGTATTTTGTACATAATTCAAAATAAAAGTATAAGATTTAAAAAATAAAATACGTTAAAATATTTACAAATTTGTACCATATATATATATATAAGGAGGGATAGAAAGTGTATAGCTACAACAAAAAAGAAGTAGGTGCACTATATATATATACAGAGGGGGTAGGGTACCTAGGAAAATACTCTTTGAATTTTCATTCTACTAATTCTCTTGCATACAACTGCAAAACTGTAGGGGAGATTCGAAAGCTTTATTAACTATTATACGGTTAATCAAATTTCAAATTAGGAACAAACTTCTTTACTATTAGTTAGCTACATATTGGGTTGGTTTTTGTTTGTTTGTTTTTTGTTTTATTGTTTTTTTTTTTTACCATTAGTAGTACATGTGTTACCGTTTATAATAGAATCATAGGTTAAGATTTTCATAGTATTCAAGAGGCATTTTGATTAAATTGATTAATATCACGGTGAGCATGAGCGTGTGTGAATGTTCAGAAGAGTTTTGCTTGTATTTATTGTGTCTTCATGTTACTATTGTTTTGTATTTGTATAGATCAGACCTATAGATCTGTACTTTGGTCAACGTTTTGGATTGGATTATGGTGCATTAGCTTTGGCACAGGTGCTAGTGGCGCAAAGCGTTTAACTTGGGGGATATTATGGTCGCTAGACACGAGAGAACTGGCCCACACTTTCGGCTTGTAACTAAGCTTTCTGTTTCTATGGACCATATCGATAAGCAAAAGCTTTATACGAGTACAGGCGGCAGTTAGTTTCTCAGTCCTATGTACATTTACACACAAAAATCTCTCGAGAAACAGATTGACGAGTTGTGAAACTTTAGATAGGAATATCAAGTCAATGTATTTCGTCGGGTAAATCGGGTATATTTGTGTGTTTCTTGTGAGGGGACAGACAATAAGACAGAGCTAGGCAAAAAGGTGAGAGCGTGTGTGAGAGACAGTGAGAGACAGAGAGTGTGGTAGGTGGTAGAGAGAAGAAGGCAGGAAACAGAGATACAATATTCGAGAGACAGAAAGACATAAGGCACTCTCTTGCGGCATGGAGCCAAAGAGTGGTTGGTGAGAGAGAGTACGTTTGTGCTTTACCTTTTTGACATCCATATTTGGCATCGGCTATAAATCCAGGTGGGCAGAATTTACATATCGGCTTGTGATCCTCGACAATGCATGGCGAGTTGGGGGCGCATGTTGCAAACTTGCACGGATCGACGCACTGCAGTTTGCGGCAAGCGAGGCCGGCCGGACAGCCGGCATCACGCAAACAAATGGATATCGAGGGCTGACAGTCCCGCATGCAGATGCACACGGGCTTGTGGTTCTGTACCTCACAGGACTTGTTCTCGGCACAGATCGGTGCCCGGCCCAACGGCACAATACATGGGTTCCGACATTTGCCATCCGTGCAGGCCATATTCGAGGCACAGTCATCATCGCGATAGCATTCCCGCTTATCCGGTGCACACGTCAGCTCTCCGTACTCGTTGACTATGAAGCCCGATTTGCAGATGCAAACGGGTTGGTGGCGTCGTGTCTCGCACTTCTTGTTGCTCTCGCAAATGAAAAGCGGATTGTTGCATGGATCTGTGCACTGGCCGTACTGGCCGCACTGCAATGTCTCCGGGCATTCGTTGTCACTGGAGCATGGTATCTGCTCCTTGGTCTTGGCATCCATGTCATCAGTGAGACAATTGGGATCGGGCTTGCACTCGACCTCGGGCCGGCCGATGTGACAGCTTGGACAGGAGCAGCGTGGACGATGCAGAACAGTTTTGCAAAGCGCATTCGAGCCGCACGCGCCACGCATTGTACAAGGATCGCTGCAGTGTCCTTGGAGGCACGATTTTTCACTGGGACAATCCGTATCTGAGTAGCATTGTTCGGTGTCTATAACATAACATACAGCAGGCGGGAAGAACGAGAGAGAGATAGACAGGAGTTGTTTTTTTTTTTTTGGTTGGTTTTAAATGTTAAACGTTGGTGGTTTCGTGGGTGCATTCATCTATTCGGTGGCATAAACGCGGTACGCTACTAAATAGATATACCTAAATATATCTTCATTCCGAGGGAAACACATAGAAGTACGGAAGTGCGACATTGAAGGGTCATTGAGTCAAAGGTTTTTGGGTAGACAGAGCTTGGTAGAAGATTCAGGGCTGGCTTTTTGCATGGAACAAAAGTGTTTTTTGGGTTTTTTTTTGGGGTGGATGGGTGCTGTAGGGTCTGGAGGGTAAAACTTATATCTAAATGTTTCTAATAAACAAAAAGGGAGAAATCTTAAACGAGACAATATATAAACAGTATAATCAAGTTATATTTTTGTTGGTTTGCTTTGATTTGGACTTCTTTTTTTGCTTGAGTGTTTTTGTGTGGATTTGTTTTGGTGGTTGGGTGGTGTTGGGAGTTTTTGTTGTTTGTGTGTGTTGTGGGTCGGTATTTGTGGTTTGGTTTGTGGTGTTCGATTAAGTGTCAGTGGGATTGTTGTGGACTCATTTTTGGGGTTTTTTTTTTGGGTTGGTGGGGTTTTGTGCATGGGATTTTGTTAGAGTAAAATAAAATTTTAGAGTGGGGGTGGTTGGGAATTTGTCAACGAACTGTGTTCAGAAACGGTGTGCATAAAGAAATCATAAGGAAACGAAAACTAAAGAAAGTTAAATAATGGATTTCCTTATCCAAAATTTAGTGCAGCAAAAGGTTTCTTTCAGATTTCATTTGGTTGTCTTATTCAAATTGTAGAACTGTGAAGGGAACATCTCACAATAACTCGGGTTTTATAGTATGTAGTATTTAGTATCGTATTTAAAAGCAAGCCAATTTCTGGGCTGCTTTCTGGGTTTCGTCGTATGAATTTGATAGTATTGGAGGCAGCGTACAAGAGAGCGAGTAGCAGGCGTAGTAGCAGTGAGAACATGTGAGCAATAGTTACAATCCTTGATGATTTACCATATATTAACGAGCGAGCATATAGAGCAGGAGATATACCCAATTTGATGCTGATCAATGATATATATATCTGGAGATTAATGCGAATTCGAGCTAATACATATTGGTTTTTGTATGTAATTGTGTTTTTCGTTTTTTTTTCTTTGTTGTTTCTTTGGATTTTGTTCAGTAATGGCAAAAATTACACGACATCCAACACATGCGCTCTGCCCTCACGAGAGACACGTTATTGGCGATTGGTTTTGGTGAGTGAGTGATTGATTGATTGATTCAGATTCAGAGAAAATATAGAGCGAAAGATTAGCTTTATAGGAATATAGGTAGGCTTTAGTAAGAGTACAGGAAATAGTAGTTGAAAAATCGATGGGTAAGAATAAATACAATTTGGAAAACGTACGTTAGGTATACTTTGGAGACTAGTTTTCAAACTCTTATTCCCCGTGTGTTATTCATAATTCACAGTATTGTTTTGTTTAAATTTCGATTATATTTACAGATTGGATATTTTTGGGTTTGATTTTTTGTTGTTGTTTGTTTGTTTGTTTGGTTGGTTAGTTTTGGCCGCTTAGATGCGGCCTATAAACAATATGTACATATGTACAAATTTTTTTCTGTATATACAACTTAATCGCTAGTCAAATGTACCAAAAAACAATATTGAAAGGTTAGTTAAATTTAGTTACATTTTAAAATTCAATTCGGGCTGGGTTTTTTATTTGTTGTTGTTTATTATAAAAAAGAGTTTGCAACCAATAGAGTGTGTGGTAGGATAGGCAGCAGCAGGAGCTTTCTTAATATGTACTTTTTGTAAGGAGTGTTGTGTATTTTGTACAAATAGTAGATCATTTCGGTTATATGTATTTTGTTGACTTGCTTTAGGGATGCATTGAAAATAGTAGTAGTTGTTGTATTGTTGTTGTAGTTGCTGTTGTTGTTGTTGTTTTTGATGTTGCTTTATGGTTTGCTATGGATTCTATACAACCGTTGAATTGTAATGGATCTTAAATTGATTTACTATTGTATGTTCCTCTCAATTGGTTTTTTTTTTTTCAATTTTCAAGCATATGTTTTGTGAACTATGTGTGAGAATTGTCCCGTCCACAGTTCCCAATCTGAGACTTTATGTTCATTTAAGAAATGTACGAAAAGGGTTTTTTCTTTTAGCAAAATAATAGGGATACGACAGAGCGGTGGATAGGGCAGGATACAATAGGTGGGCGGTGGACAGAGCGGAATCGGTAGGAAGGAGGGATAGGATTATTTTGGGATTATGGATTTCGATCATCATTTTATCAAGTATCAAGGATGTGTTGAGGATTGTTGTCTATTATGTGTTGTATTTTTTTTTTCTTTTTTTTTTTTGTTGTAAATTTTAGTTTTATTTAGATTCGTTTTAGATTTAATACTGGGGCTACGTATCGCTATCGCGGCGTTTTTTCTTTTGTTTTTGTTTGTTTGGTTAAATAGGGAGCAGGATGAACCAACTTGTTGTCTACTGAATCTGTGCGAGAATATGGATGCCGCAGAGAGCTGTTTTTGCCAATACAGATGGTTATTCAAAAGCCAATTTGTATGTGGTAACTAAACGAATTCCAATGAGAGTTGAGCAGCTCTATGAAAGCCAGAATGAAAAATGAGTACGAACGCAAGCTTCAAGCTTTTTTTTTTTTGATTTGTTGTTGTATGGGGGAAAGAGCCAACTCTTTTTTTTGTTTTGTTTTCAGATTAGTATGATTTTAAATTTACTTAAAGTCTAGACTTAAAAACTGCTGCATATAGTAGTAGTATTTTGTGTGTGTTTCAAAAATGAATTTAGGCACAGATTGGGTAACCGCGATAGCGACAGCAACAATCCACGAATTTCCATATGCTGTATTGATGTATGGTTTGTGTTCTATATATTAAAGGATACTTGAAAAGCTAGAGCTAACTCTTTGGTCTGGTGTTTTTGCTATTTGGGGAAGGGTTGTTGTTTTTGTTGTTGTGTAGGTGGTTGTGTGATTCGGTTTTTGAGCGTGCTGGGGTTGGAATTATACGTATACCTGGCTTTTCGCACATGTGTATAGGTTGTTAAGAAATATAAATACTCAAATAATTACGTATTAGATATTGGCACACACACACACACACACTACACTGAATTCTTTGGTCAAATACGTATGTACGAGTATATCTAGGCAGCCGGAGGAGGCTGTGTTTGGAATTAGTGGAATTAGCTAATTAGCTTGGGGGTTGTTTGTGTGTGTTTGTGGTTTAAGAAACTCGCATCTATGGCTAATAAAAACCATTAAAATTATAACAACAAAATCAATTTCAATTGGTTACTAACAGACCTCAAGTTATTAAGTTTTTGGTTGGTAAAAAAAACGGCAACGGAACGCTGGTTAACATGATTAGGCACTATTCTGTACGCTAAGGACTATAAAACACACGAAACTTGAATGAATGGAGGGCCACTTACCCTGCTGGCACACATAGTCATAGCCATGGCGCACACAGTCACCCACATCGCAGCCGAGAGTACGGCAGTCCTGCTGCGGTGGCGTCAGATAACCTAACCCAAAGGATAGAGTTGGTTAGCTTTTGTTTTTTGGAAGGCATTTTAGCTTGCAGTTTACATTGAACATAGGCATCACCATTGGGGAAGTCCTCCGGGCAGTAGCACTCGGCTTGGTCGTTGTCCAGTACATGGCAGGCGGCATTCAGGCCGCATGGATGATCGTGGCAGGCATTCACTAGAGGTCCCTCGCAGAGGCAGCCCTTGTTGGCATCCCCGATGCAGCCATCCATGCAGGCACACTCATAGCCGCCGGGCACTTCGGTACACTTGGAGTTGACGCCACAGGGGCTGTTGGAGCAGCCGCCATCCAGGGGCTGGCACTCACTGGCGGGATTGCCAAAGAAGTCGGGTGGGCAGGAGCATTGGGCCTGGCGATTAGCCACACGGCATTGGGCATTGGTGCCGCAGGCACCGTACTCCAGGCATGGATTGCGGCACTTGCCGCCATCGCATCGCTTGTTGCTGTCGCAGTCAGAGTCCTGGCGGCACTCGAACTGCACGCACTCCTTGCTGGGTTCTCCCTCGTAGCCATCGGGGCAGTAGCACAGCATCCGATGCTCGGACACGGTGCACAGGGCGTTGCGTCCGCAGGCCTTGTCGTCGGCACAGGGGTCCGTGCACTTGCCGCGCACACAGCTCTGGTCGGCGGCGCAGTCACTGTTGGACTTGCAGCCGGCAATGCAGGCTCCCCGCTCGCAAAGCTGTCCCACGGTGCACTGTCGCTTGGGTCCGCACTTGTTGCGGCACTTGCCACGCGCGCACTGCTGTCCGCAGGCGCAGTCCTCCGTTCGGGAGCACTTGGTGGCGCAGTAGGCCCCATTCTCGTCGCATTCGCAGCCGGGATGGCAGCGTTCCGCTGGCAGTTGGCAGCCGGTGAGACCGTCGCCAATGAAGGAGGCCGGACACTGGCATTGAACGCCATGATTCACCACCAGACAGTCGGCACACTGGCCACACTGGCCGGGGCTGCGGCAGGGATTCTGGCACTTCTTGTTCACGCAGGCCTCGTCGGTGGCACAGCTGAGGTCGTTGCGGCAACCGGTTTGGCAGACACGACTCTCGCAGATCTGGCCCTGGGCACAGGCTTCGTCCGTGTTGCAGACGGTGCGGCAGGTTCCGCGCATGCAGCGCTCGTCCGAGAGACAGTTCTGATCGTTGCGGCACTTGCCCTGACAGCTGCCGGCGTAGCACAGCTGGTTGTTCTGGCAATCCTCGTTGCGTCCGCAGGCGATGCGCGGCACCTTGCAGGCCACGTTGGCCTTGCCGCTAAGTCCCTCCGGGCAAGTGCACTGCTTGCGATGGTCCACGGTCTGGCAGAGGGCATTCGTTCCACAGGCAGTGGGGTCTGCACATGGATCCACGCACTGCTGGGCAATGCAGGAGAGTTCGGACGGGCAGCCCTGGTCGGAGCGGCAGCCGGGCACGCAGTTGAGTCCCAGACACAGTTCGCCGTGGGCACACTCGTTGTCGTGGCGACAGAGTGGCTTGCAGACGCCCTGCTGGCACCGCTCGTTGGTTATGCAGCCGGCATCGTCGGCGCACAAGGGGCGGCACACAGACTCGAAGCACGCCAGACCGTTGCCACAGTCGCGATTCTCGCGGCACTCAAGCGGAGGGGCACGCACGCAGCCCACCTGGGGCGTGGGATTGGGCACCATGCTCTCCAAGCAGCTGCATGTGGCCCGATGATTGGACACCGAGCAGGCGGCATTGGGCCCGCAGGGACTCTCCACACAAGGATTCACACACTTATCGTTGCGGCAGGACTCCGAGGCACTGCAGTCATCATCCACATGGCAGCCGTAGACGCACTTGTTGTGCAGGCACACATGCCCCAAGAAGCAATCGTTGTCCACGCGGCAGGTCACTAAAATCGAGCAACAGACACAAATTAAACAACTGAAAGCCATGTGAGATGGAAGGTAACCTACGCATGCAATTGCCCCGCAAGCATTTCTCATTGGAGGCACACTCCAGATCGTTTTGGCACACAGGCAGGCACATGGAGTCACGGCAGGTGTAGCCGGGCGAGCAGTCAACTTCGCAGGCCACTGGCACCCGGACACATTCCTTCGACGAGTCTCCGGTGAAGCCCTCCGGGCAGTGGCACTGTTTAAGGTGATTCAACATCACGCATTCGGCATTCTGGCCACAGGCCTGGGGCTGGACACATGGATTGAAGCATTGGCCGCCCTGGCAAACCTCCGACGGCCCACACTCGGTGTCCAGCACGCAGGCAGCTATATTTATACGGGGAAATCAGAGACAGAATTAATTGACTTGCAATTCCATAAGTAGTTGAATTCCCGTCTCTTGCAACGTTCGTGTGTTCGGCGTGTGTTGTCGTTTTACTGTGTAATTTGTAGTTAAGTTTTTCTTTTTTTTTTTTGCATCTAGTCTAGGAGTTAGAGTTAGCGTTTGATTTAATGCGTGGGCATCGAAGCCAGTCCAAGGTTTTTGTAGTAAGTATCTAGTAGTTATAGTAGTTTCTTGAGATGTTGTGACACACTTGAGGGTTTGCACATAAATTCAAATTATATATTTATAAGTACATAATCGGTGGAATACTTGAACGCTTTTGTGAGGTTAATGCTTACATTCAACGAATTCCCTTATTTATAAAATTTTCAACACAGCATCAATGCTATGGATTTTAAATTAAAGTAAATAATCGTAGCGAGCATAAAGATTTTCCTTATACTTATTATTTCAAGTCCAGCAGCCAGATACTCTCGGCTTTTTATCTCTGTTTTTTTTCGTTTGCTTTTGGCAGCATAAAGTACACTCTTCTGTTTACTACATATTAATTTCAAAGGCCACTGTACCGAATGTGTACAAATTTCCCACAAGTGAATGGCTACATTCGTTCGAAGCATTCGATATTAAAGATTCCTATATATTTACGATGAAATACTAAAAACGTATCCCTTTTCTTTTAAATTACGATGTCAAATTGGTTTAGAAATTACGAAGATCTATGGGTTTTTGATGAAATTTAAATATTTTAGTATTCTTTGCATTTAATAATCTTTTTGTGGATCAAGAGAAGTTCTCGCACAACTTCTTTGGTATAAAATTCATGCAAGTCATTTATGGTTCTGCTTGTAAAAAGAAAACTTTAACAACTATTTCTGTATGGTTTTTTAAAGACTGAAAGATAAATAATGATAATCAGCATCCCATTGAATGTCACAACATCTCTCTGGCATAGATTTCTGTGCTAGTTTTGTTTTTGGTAAGTAAGTGAGTGAGTAAGTACTAGGAAGATAGGCATAAAGAGTTTACTCGTTCAGGTGCACCAAATGCAATTGTTTGCTGTAGAGTTTTGCAGTCGGATGGCGGTAGAGTCGGTGGTGGGGCAAAGGTTTGGCAGGCAAAGGTGCGTGGGGAGTACTTACGTTTGCAGACGCTATCCGAGCAGTAGGTGTTTGTGGGACAGTCGCCGGTGACCTGACAGGGAACGGGCAATGGCTTACAGCCGGCCACCCGGTCGGCGGGTTGGCCGTCATAGCCCATGCGACATGCACAGTGAGCGATGTGGCCCTTCGGAACACATTCCGCATTGGGGCCACACAGCAGTTGGGCGCAGACATCGTGGCACTTGGCCACACCGTTAGTTTTGGTGCATGCAGCATGCGGGGGACAGTCCTCGTTGGTCTCGCACTCCACGGAGCTGCGACAGCCCTCGTTATACGGGTCACCAACGAGGCCGGGGGGACAGCTACACTTATAGGAGCCGCGCGAGTTCCGGCAACGGGCACCGGGTCCGCACGGAGCATCGCGACAAAAATCAATGACATCGCAACGCACGCGTGGATCGCCACTGAAGCCGGGCTGGCAGTGGCACACCTGCTGATGGTGCTCCGTGGTGCAGAGAGCATTCTCGCCGCAGGGCTGGCCTATCAGGCAGGCGATCTTGCACATGTGATTGTCGCAGCTCTTGTCGTTCGAACAGTCCTCGTCGCTGCTGCACTCGATCTTGCGGCATCCCGACTTGGCATCCCCAAAGAAGCCATCCTTGCAAATACAGTCCGGAGAATGGGAGCGAGCCACACACTCGGCATTGCGGCCACAGGCGGCACGGCCCAGGCACACCGGCTCACAGCGGGCACGGCCGTAGGCATCCATCAGGCAGGTCTCGTCCTCGCCACAATCCGTGTTGGCGCCGCACTCCAGCTCCTTGGTGCAGATGTTGTTCGAGCAGAACTGGAACTGGGGACAGGTCGTGTTCGATTTGCAGGTGCCCTGGCAGACGCCCTGAAGGCACAGCTGCTCCGTGATGCAGTCCCGATTGGTGCTGCAGAGGGGACTGCAGATGCCATGCGAGCAAATGCTTCCCTGTGCGCACTGTGCATCCTGCTGGCAGTATTGCAGCGGCACACATCCCTGTTTGGCATCTCCGGTGCTGCCCGACTCGCAGGCGCAGACTCCAATGTGGTTCTGGACCGAACAGAGAGCCTGAGCTCCGCAGGCGTTGGGCAGGGAGCAGGGATCAATACACTTGGCGTCCAGGCAGGCCTTGTCGCCGCCACAGTCGTCGTTGTCGGAGCACTCGATGTGTACGCACTCGACGAGAGGATCTCCGCGGGAATTCGCGGCGCAGGTGCACACGGCCTGATGGCTCTGGGCCTGACAATTGGCATTGATGCCGCACGCGTTCTGTCGTTCGCAGGGACTGCGGCAGCGCGAGTTTTGGCAACTGGCGGTGGCGGGACAATCGACATCGCTGAGGCATTCGCTGGGATCGCGACAGCCGGCCTGCAGGGGATCTCCGATGAGTCCCTCGGGGCACTGGCAGTTGTAGCTGCCCGGCAGATTGTTGCAGAAGGCCGTGCTGTGGCAGGGCTGGGACAGACACTCGTTGACATCCTCGCAGACTCCTCCGCTGACCAGCTGGTATCCCTCGTAGCAGGCACAGACGGCCTTGTGGTCGGACACCTCGCAGTTTCCTTTACCGCAGCCGGTCAGGTCGCAGGGTTTGATGCAGCGATTCGTCTCCGCATCGCAGGCACGATCGCTGGCACAGTCCACATGATCGATGCACTCCACCTTGAAGCAGCCGACTCCTGTATCGTTCGGATCGCCCAGATATCCAGCGGGACAGCTGCACAGAGCCTCGTGTCCCTCGGACTGGCAATGGGCATTGGCCCCGCACACTGTCTGCAGGCACGGATCCGTGCACTTGCCTTGGATGCAGGCCAAGTTGTTGGCACAATCGTCGGGCTGGTGGCATTGGCGGCCCTGGGAGCAGCCCTGCTTGGTGTAGCCATCGCCGACCGTGCCCTCGGGACACACACAGCGATAGGAGCCAGGGACATTCTCGCACCGGGCACTGGCATGGCACGGCTGCTCCGTGCACTCATCGATGTCCGAGCAGCCGAAGGGCGTGCCAATGAAGCCGCTGGCACACTTGCACTTGCCAGTGAGGCACAGCTCCGTGGGCGGGCAGTCCGCATCCGAGTCGCAGCCTGGCTGGCAGGTGCGATCCGCATTGCAGATCTCGCCGGCCAGACAGTTGTTGCTGGTGTAGCAGACCTTGCGGCACACCTGCTGGTAGCAGCGCTCGCCAATCGCGCAGGAGGAGGTCTTGGTGCAGGGCAGGTTGCACTGGTTGCCGATGCACATGTGTCCGTTGGGGCATTGATTGCTCGCCAGGCAGGGGGCGGGCACTCGAACGCAGCCCTGTTCGGGCGTGGGATTTCCCTCGAATCCTTCCGGGCAGCTGCACTGACTCCGGTGCTCGGCAATGCTGCAGAGCGCATTGGGGCCGCAGCTGTTGCCGGACTGGCAGGGATTCAGGCACTTGTTCTCGATGCAGGACTGATCCTGTTTGCACTCCTTGTTGCTGCGGCAGCCGATGGTGCAGTGACCCTCCACGCAGGCCAGACCTTGGCCGCACTGGCTGTGGTCCAGGCAGGCCACCACACAGACGTTGTTCAGGCAGCTCTCGCCGTCGGAGCAGTCCTGCGAGTTGCGGCACGCGATCCTGCACTGTCCATTGAAGCACAGCTCTCCGCCGCAGTCCACGTCCGTCAAGCACTTGGAGGCGCTGCGGGCGCAGCCGTCCTTGGCCGTGTCGGAGATCGGCTGGAAACGCAGCGGACAACTGCAGACGGGCTTTCGGTTCACCACCTTGCACTCGGCATTCGAGCCGCAGGCATTGTCGCACGGATTCTGGCAACGTCCGCCCGCGCAGATGGTGTTGGCCGGACAGTCGGCATCCCCATTGGGACACTGCCCGTCCGGACGGCAGCCCGCGCTCTTGGGTTCGCCCACGAAATGCGGCGGACACTTGCAGATGGGTCCCTCGGGTGTGACCTCACAAATGGCGGATGGATGACAGGTGCCGGCGGCACAGCCGCTCTGTTTGGTGCATGCCACCTCTGGCAGCGGGTCGCCACGGAATCCGGGCGGGCACTGGCACACGGCGCGATGATCCTCGGCCAAACAGATGGCATTCTCGCCGCACGACTCCTCGTCGCAGACATCGAAGCAGGTGTGAGTCATTCGGTTGCACATTTGGGTGGTGGGGCAGTCATGGTTGTAGACACACGGCACGCTCTGGCAGCCATTGAACGGATCGTACGGATCGCCGGCAAACGGTCCGGGCGGACACTGACATTGGGCCTGGTGGTTGTTCGTGATGCAGACGGCACGGGGACCGCACTTGACCGATTCACAGGCCGGGCGACAGCTCAGCGTTTGGCTGGCCTCATCCTTGATGCAGGCCTCCGACTCCTGGCACTCGGCATGGCTGCGGCACTGATGCTTCTGCGCCGGCTGGCAGCCATTGCGATCGTTGGGATTGCCCACAAAACCATTCAGGCAATCGCAGCGTCCCTGGTGCTGACGGGCCACACAAATGGCATTGGCCGGGCAGGTGAAGGCATCGCAGATGGCCACGCACTTGAGCACGCCCAGGACATCGGGCCGACAGGCGGAGGCATCCGGACAGTTGGCATCGCTGGTGCAGTCGGGCAGCGAGGGTTTCTCGCACGAGGAGACCACCGGATTCCACACGAAGCTCTCGGCACAGTTGCAGTTGGCATGTCCCGCGGGATTGATCTTGCACAGCTCGTTGGGTCCGCAGACCACATTCGCGCACAGATTGATGCACTCCCGAGTGCCATGGGCCGTGGATGTCTGGCAGCCGAAGCCGCGTTCGCAGTCCTTGTCCGTCTTGCATTTGTCCTCCTGTTCGGGTATCGTGCGTTCCGGCTGGCAGCCCACTTGAAGATTGCTCGGATTGCCAAAGTAACCGTCGGAGCAGATGCACGACGAACGATGATCGTCGGCCACACAGAGGGCATTGGGACCGCACTGGATCTTCGAGCAGGCATCCACGCACTTGCGCAGACCCCGGCCCAGCTGGAAGCAGATCTCCGTGTGCCGGCAGTCGGCATCGTTGCCACACTGTCCGCGCACGCTGCAACCCTCGCTGAGATCGTGCGGATCGCCGATGTAGCCCAAGGGGCAGAGACACTTCCCAGCATCGCAGATGGCACGCGGTCCACAGGCCGCCTTGGAACACAGGTTCTTGCACTGTCCCTTCTGGCAGCTGTAGCCATCGGGGCACTCCGTTCGCTCGTTGCACTGGCACTTGTTGGCATCCTGGCAGAACCTGCTCTCGATGGGCTGGCAGCTGCTGTAGGGATTTCCGGCATGGCCCGAGAGGCACAAGCACTCGAATCCACCGGCTGTGTTGAGGCAGGCGGCATTCAGGCCGCACGGCTTGTTGGTGCATTCGTCCACGTCCTGGCAGCCCACATGCGGATTGCCACTAAAGCCCTGCGGGCAGAGGCACGTTATGTGGTTGCCCACAGCGCGACACTCGGCGTTGGGGCCACAGCTATTCGGCTGGCAGACGTTCTTGCTCTGGGCGCCGCAGCCCTCGTAGGGATTGCCATAGGTGCCCGGATTGCAGGCACATCGGCTCTGTCCCAGTCCGTACTCGCAGTGGGCATTGTCTCCGCAGCCTGGCGAGCACTTGGCCATCTCGATGGGCGGCATGCACAGCAGGTCCGGATTGCCGACAAAGTTCGGTTCACAGACGCACTTGCCATTGTTCTTGTCGCAGGTGGCTCCAATGCCGCAGACGACGCCGTCGCAACGCTCCTTGCAGCGGCCATTGATGCAGATCTGACGCTCGTCGCACGGCCGGGAGGCTGTGCACTGATCCGTGCTGCAGCTGCCGCCGGGGAAGGGATTGCCCAGCTGTCCCTGCGGACACTTGCAGGTGGGTCCATCGCTGGTGGGTATGCACAGCGCTCCCTCGCCGCAGATCACGTCCTGGCACTGGGAGACGCACTCGCCATCGGCATTCTTGACGAAACCAACGCGACAGCGACACCATCCCGCATGCTGTTCCGTCTCGCAGTAGGCATTCGATCCGCAGAGCAGACTGGCACAGGGACTCAGGCAACTGCCGTCGAGGCAGGCCAAATTACTCGCGCAATCCTCGTTGCTGAGGCACTTGCTCTTCGGCGTTCCATTCTCGAAGATGCAGCCGCTCTTGTACGGGTCTCCGGTGAATCCCTTGGGGCATACGCATTGGTATCCGCCCTTCTTGTTGACACAGTAGGCGCCGTAGGCGCATGGCAGATGGGCGCACTCATCCTCGTCCGTGCAGCCGAGCAGGGGATCGCCCTTGAAGCCCGCCTCGCACATGCATTGCGGGGGATCCGAGGGCGTGCACTTGGCATTGATGCCGCACGGGAATCGCTCGCAGGGGCTCTTGCACTTGTTGTTGTCCTGCGGATCGAGGAAGTAGGGCGGCGGGCAGACGCACTCGCCCGGCTGGATGCACTTCTCATTGCTGGCGCACTCCTTGTCCGCCGCGCACTTCCGCTGGGCCGGAGCACAGAGTCCGTTGTAGGCATCCCCCAGGTAGCCCTCGGGGCAGTGGCAGGTGTAGCCTCCGGCTTGGTTCACGCACTGAGCCCCAAAGGCACAGAGCTGCGTGCCGCGCTCCTCGCACTCGTTGACATCCGCACAGGTGCCGTCCGGCTGCGTCTGGTAACCCTTGGGACAGGCACAGTAGCTCACGCCACCGGCAATCGAGATGCACTCCGCGCCACTGGCGCAGGCCTGGCCGCCACTGGAGCAGCCCGCGAGCACGCAGCTGTTGCCCAGCAGCTTGTACGGCGCCTGGCACTGGCACTCTGCGGTGCTGCAGATCTCGCACATGATGAAGGGATTGCCGGTGTGGCCCTGCGGGCAGCGGCACTCGTAGCTGCCAGGCAGATTCTTGCACAGCGCATTCAGTCCACAGGCTGGCTTGCCGCGCGCCGCGGAGCACTCGTCTAGGTCCTGGCACTGGCCGCTCTCCGCACTGCGTTCGTAGCCCTGCCGGCAAATGCAGACACTGTTGCCCGTGTACGAATCCTGCACGCAGCTCTCGCCAGCCGCACAGGGATTCGCGTCGGAGCAGCCCGCACTCTTGGACGTGGCACAGCCCTCGCGGTAAGCGTCGCCCGATGAACCGCCTGGGCACTGGCACAGATAGCCACCCGCTGTGTTCGTGCAAATGGCCTTCTCCGCACAGGGATTGGCCCGACACTCGTCGATGTCGTTGCAGCCGCCGGGTAGCGCAGCATTTCCGGTATAGCCGGGTGCGCAGAGGCACTGCGCCTGGCCATTGGCCAGCATGCACTGGGCATGGGCTCCGCAGTCCTGCGTTTCACACGGATGCCGGCAATCGTTGCCGATGTTCGGCTCCGGGCAGAGGCAACGCTTCGTTTCATCACAGATGGCATTTCCGGGGCAATTCTCGCTGGTGGTGCAGCTCACGATGGGTACGCAGCGCACACTGGGATCGGGATCGGCAATGGTGTGCTCGGGACAGCGACAGGTGTAGCCACCGCCGGGCATATTCACGCACTCGGCACCCGATCCGCACTTACCGCCCGTCCGGCACTCGTCCACATCCACGCACTTGCTGTGCGGATCGCCCGAGTATCCAGGCGGACAGGCGCACGAGTAGCCGCCAGCGGTGTTGGAGCAGGTGGCATTCTGGCCACAACTGCCAAAGGGTCCGTGCAGCACATCGCACTCGTCAATGTCCACACAGCCGGCGGCCACATCGCTGGGATTGTAGGTCCATCCCTCCTCGCAGACGCAGTAGGCCTCGTTCTGGTCCGGCTTGCAGTAGGCATGCGGCCCACAGCGTACATCCTCGCACGGCTGCTTGCAGGCCATTCTCGGGGGACTGCCCACATAGCCGGCCTCACAGTCGCACCGGTACGAGCCGGGTGTGTTCAGGCACTGGGCATGCTGTCCGCAGGCCTCTGCATGGGTGCGACACTCGTCGATGTCCACACAACTGGCGCCAATGGGCTCGAAGCCGTCCAAGCAGAAGCACTGGTTCTCAATGCACTCCGCATTGTTGGTGCAATCAAAGTTACTGCGGCACAGGATATTCACATCCACCTGCTCGCAGGCCACCTTTGGATCCGGCTTGCCGTCGTAGCCCTGCGGACACTTGCAGTTGTATCCAGGATTGGTGTTCTCGCACTGAGCATGCTGTCCGCAGGGTTTGTCCAGGGCAGCACACTCGTCAATGTCCACGCAGCCGCGGAACGGGTCGCCGGTGTAGTCCGGTTTGCAGTTGCACACGAAGCTGCCGATGGTGTCCGTGCAGATGGCATTCTCGCCGCACGGATTGTCCTGACACTCGTTGATGTCTGAAGGATCGATCGAGGGGCAGGGTGTTTGGGGGGCAAACGCGTGGTTGGTTCATTGGCGGGTTGTGGTGGTGGTGGTGGTTGGGCGGGGGATTGGGTTAAATATATTTATAAATTAATTAAATTAGTATTCAAAAACAATGCAAAATTGGATGATAGATAGGCGTGGGAGCATATAGCGTGAAGTGGTGGAGCGGGAGCAGCAACAGGATGTAGATACTGTAGATATAGACGGGATTTGGGTGGGAGGACTGGTGGGGTTCAAGGAGGAAGCTGTCTGAAAAGCATGCAGCTGCTAGAAAAGCACAAAAGCTAGGCTTTAAGCTTGCTAAATAAAAAAAAAAACAGCTTTAAAGGAGTTTAGCAGGTTTGGTGGGGGGATTGGGAGGAGGAAGCGCACCCCACAAGGTCTGCAAATCCAGGCGGGTGCTTTATGCCCTCTGATAGTGCAAATCTCGTGTGGTTGCAAAAATGTCGAGGCTTCACTTTCAGTAATTCAATTCAATTTAAGTACTAAATAATACCGAAATTTCAGTATTATCTAGGCGATATTTGCAGTATATTCGACTGAAAGTATAAAGTATTTAAATTTGAATTTGTGTACTGTATTAAAATACCAAAGATTCAGCTTTTTTTGGAATTTTGCAATTTTGTGCAGTATTTTTTAGGTTTTAAGATTTAAATTTTCCAATTGAAAACTAAATAATTTCCAACTTATTTTTTTGTTTTTTTTTTGCGCAAACAACTTTAAATACTGAAAATGGAGCCTGGGGACGAAGCATATCTAAAGCAGGCAATAAATACTAACTCTCGCAATGCAAATAGCCCTGTCCTTGGAATCCACTCGGGCACAGACATCGATACGAGCCCGGAAAGTTAATGCACTTGGCGTTGGTGCCACACTTGGCCACACCATCCGGCTGGTTGCACTCATCGATGTCCAGGCAGGCTAAGCCCGCGCCCGATGCGACAGCGACCACCGCCGTCTGGCTGTCGGCGTCCCCTTGGCCATAGCCCAGTGGCAGTAGGTCAACAGGTGGCTCTGCGTTCTGATCGTGCTCGAGGACAAAGCCGAGGGGACAACGACATTGATAGCTACCGCCCATGTTCACGCATTCAGCACCCGAACCGCATGGATTGTTAGTGGCGCATTCATCGACATCTGGTATTATATTTTTTGGTATTAATGTAGCATTTTGCGGTGCATTAATGTTGGTATGTTTTGTGTGTGAAGTGTGTGTGTTGTTTTGGTATTTTGTAGGTGCCGCCAATTTAAAAACAAACAAAAGTGCAAAAAATACAACCAAAATGGTAAATGTCAAATGATGATTCGATTTCTAAACTATTTATTAGACTCACCCTCGCAGCCATGCATGGGATCCCCGCTGTAGCCATCGGGGCACAGGCAGCGGAAGCTGCCATCATTATTCAAACAGTTGGCATTGCGGCCGCAGGGAGATCGAGCACACTCGTCCTGGTCCACGCATCCTTGGTCGGCGCGTCCATCGCCGTCGTATCCCGTCGGGCAGTCGCAGCGATAACTGCCCGCGAGATTCGTACATATGGCACCGGGTCCGCAGACATTCGGATATGTGCACTCGTCCACGTCCTGACAGTCCTTGTAGGGATCGGTACCCACAAAGCCCTCGGGACAGGCACAGGTGTAATTGCCAGGCGTATTGATGCACTGGGCATTCGGGGGACAGGCCTGCGGATTGCGGCACTCGTCCACATCCGTGCAGAGCACTTCACCATCGCCCTCGTACCCATCGTGGCACTTGCACAGGAAGTGCGACGGCAGATTACAGCACTCGGCATTCTCCACGCATCGCGCTGCTATCGCGGGATCTTGGCATTCGTCAATGTCTGCAAGTAAAGGAACAAGCGACGCAGGGGCCGTGATTAATCGAAGATGCTACACAGTAAATGACAAGTAATTAAAATCCAAACGCAGTACATTATCTTCCACCTTCCAACTTATTTATTGCATGCCATGCCCGCCATGCATCCCGCCCCCCCACGCAGGCGGCACAATCCAAGAGACGTGTTCTGGCTCTGACTTTGGGTCTCTCTACGCATTTTGCCGCTTGAATGCGCACTTTGCTCGCATTCACAGTCGCCGCGAATCGGACATGGAGTAGCAGCAGTGTGGCAATGGATGCCATCGAGATTTGCATGCTACGCATGACATTTCAGTGTCAGTCGGCGCGAGTGGAAGCCACGACGACAATGTCAAAGCACAGGATGCACCAGTTGCATACATTTTCATATCAATTGGATACGAGTACGAGTATGTGGTCAATGTTAATGGGACAATGTGTATGAAGTATTTATTTGGAATTTGAAGCTAGCGATATCATACAAGTCACTAGACTTTTATACTCTTAAGAGAAGGAATATACCTACTAGATCTATGTACATACATACAGAATTTTTATTCCGAATTTTGCACAAGCCTGATAACAATATAAAATGGTTTGGAACATTACAGGAGTCGGCACACAAAACCTGGGTGCCCTATCTCTCAAAGCCTCTGAAATCTAGAACAAGAATCTTATCCACATTGCCAATTGACGCTCTAATGAATAACCTAAGGAAATCATAGAAATTAAGGCATAGCGAACTCTTCGAAGAAAGAACAAATCTCTTGATTACAATCTTAATCTATGACATTTCTTAAAAAGAATCGATTTCTACATTCACCAGAATTCTCAAATTGCATAAGCCTGAATCCAATCTAACCTTTCATGTCGACTGTCTGAGTCTCTGGCGAAAGACTCTGGGCGGAGGAGGAGGAGGAGGAGAATGCGCTGTAGATCAGAGCTTTCTGCTCCAATAGCGCGCAGCGCATCGCATCGTATCGAATCGTATCGAGAATTGAATATTGCCAGAGAGAGAGAGAGATAGAGAGGGAGAGACATGGAGCCAATGAAGCGGCAATACAGCTGGATTGAACCAGACCGACTACGAGACGGCAGCCGTTCTCTTCTGGACCGCAATCTGGGCCCATTAATCATCAGAGGGCCTGCGATTAAGCAAAAGTTGTACATTTATAGCTAATATGACATAAGTACAAAAGTTGGCAAAAGGCAAAGACAAGGACGAGCTCTGCAGATATATAGCAGGGAATGGGATGGGGAATGGGTATAGGGTTTGGGTGCCTTATAATTACAACAACAAGAACGAGTTGGTCGTTCAGTTATAATTACTAGTTTTTAGCTTATAAATTAAGAGGATCATCACTCCCTACTCCCTCCTCCCTACTCATTCTTTCTGGCGGGATACGACCGAAACTGGTATTTGCTCTTAACAACCAACTGATATGACAGCATTCCATGTTTGTGGCAATTGCAAACTCTGATTACTCAATGTCATCATCCTCGTCGACTACCGAGTAGTCTCCTCCACTGCCATCTGCCATCTACCGTCTACCATCCCAATGTTGTCCAGGAGTCGGGAAGTTTTTCCAGAAGCAGGAAGCATTCTATGTTCTTCTAAGTTTCAATGTCAGTTTAATTACTTTATGCAATGCGACTGCAAGACGACAGCAGCAGCAGGTCCCCATCCCCATGGCATGCCGTTCCTCATCTCGATTCCAGACTCAAACAGAGACAACGAGACGTGGTCCGAGACAGAGACAGAGCCAAAGCTAGGCCATTGACCAAAGGCTGTCTAATGAACTTAGTAGCATGCCCCGTTGCGTCTCTACTGCCAGCTCTGATTCTTTTACAGCCTGTTGGCCTCAGACTCTGAGTGTAAATTAAATTTTTACCTCCTCTCTGATTATACAACGCTGAGAATAATGTTCACAAATTTGCTAGTTCTCTAGTTTTTGGGCAGTAACGCCTACTGGGTTCTGGCCACATTTGACCGCTTTAAAAGCAATCAAATATATGCGTGACTCAATGTGATTAGACCTAATGATTGCCTGAAATGATGCTGACATAATTTGCCGAGCTATGCTTCTTCTTAGATTTCCTGTCCGTCTCTATAAATGCTAGCCATAATCGTCAGAACAAGATTTCTTTCAAGTGGCATTTTAAAATGCGGTGATCTGGTGATTAAATAAAAATACAGACACGACAAGGGAAATGCTTAGATGATTATTTTATAAGTATTATATCATTTTCTATCTATACTTTCTATATACTCGCAGAGAATTGGTTAAGGTTGGATATGTTATGTCTGATGGGACATTTCCTGCTTCCAAGAAAAATCATACATAATTGACTACGTATTTAAATACTTAATTAAAGATTTTGGCAAACGGAAGGACTTGCGGTTCTACGGATTACATTTAAAATTGATTTATCATTAGCAGCACATTCGCATTTTAATGGCAATATCTTTTTGGATTTTATCATCCGTTGGTTTCCCTTGGAAGAAATGTCTCCTTTTGTCTCGAAATTGTGTGCAGAAAATAAAACATGAGAGGGAAACTCATCAAATAAAATACATATTGGAAAAATATACCATATAAAAGATATATTTATGTAAGCGTAGTGTTTTATTTCCTTCCATTGATGTTTGCAACCTTTGCACTTTTTTTTACCTTCCTCCCATAGCGCTGCTCTAATTAAAACTAATTACCAATCAGACTGTTGTAGAAATCTATTCCACAACTAAACTTAAAATGCAACAACTGATCTGGTATGCACATTAGATAAACCATGGTCTGGTCTGTCTGGCGTCTATCTAATAAATTGTGTAATTGTGGACTTAATTAGCATCTACTGCAATTTGAGTTATGACATTCGTGCCATGATTTTTTAGTGCATCCGAACACCACATGCGACCGACTGACTATAGCTATATAGTAGAAGAGAGATACAATTTACGAGCGGACATGACTTTCATGCTCCACTGCCAGACAAATGATTAGCAGCTCGAATAAATCGTAATAATACGAATAAAAAAAAAATATACTCTGAACTTGAACTCGAGCAAGGCAAAGGGGTGGGGGGAAAGAAGAAGAAGAAATCATAGTAAAGAAAACCAAAATTAGTTAACAATTTGTTACGCAATTATGCGTCAAGTTTTTCCATAAACTAAGTATGTGCTCTAAGATCAAGGTCGAGTGGCAAGCGAGTGATGTCAGCCGGATCTGGGGCTACAGGGAGACGCAGAGCTGTAGCTAGAGCCATATACATGGGTGGCTTTTTCTGTTTGGTAGAGACGCCCCTCATTTGTGCGTAAATGTGGCAAATACACGCTCGTATAATTAGGCGTGTCAATGCCGACGCTTAAAGCCATTTTCATGCCTTATCAGCGTGCCGGCTTCGACACGAGAATTAATTGCTGCCATTTTGATATGCAAAAAGTGTAAAGTACCAACAAAAAAATAATACTAAAAATAATAAGAAGCCACCGACAATCGACGACCAGTATGTTCTGAGCCAAAAAAAAAAGGTATAGTACTCTTATAGTATACAAAAAAAAACCTAGAGCTTATCATCTGACGTTGATCTCAAACTGCTGCGTTGCCCAGCCCCAAAGACGACGACGGATTGAAGTCCGCCCTGGAGTTGAGGTTGTGGTTGGAGGCAATCGCGGGAGTCCCGCACAATGCAGGTTGGAGGGAGTCCAAGTGCCACATTGTAGGCAGTGCCGTTTGCGGCTTTTGAGGACAGGCGGCGGCATTAAGCGCCGACAATGCTACCGCCACAGACCTGAAGCTGGTGCGATCGCGACTGTGACGGCGTTGCTACGTGGGCACAATCTATTTTATCCGTTTTAATGATCTGCCCCAGTTAGCGAAACGAAAGGGAGCAGCCGCCTGCCAGCCTGCCTGCCAGTGAACGTGGCGGCCAGCGCGTACGATCGTTCGGCTCGAGCGGACAAATCCAATAGCAAAAAGGCCGCAGCTTTAGACGATTCGAAGCTATGGATACCCTTTCGCAAAGAATAGTGTTTCAACCGACTAGTTCCCATGGAAAATATGGATATTAACACAAAATCCGGTTTCTATAGCATTTATTACTCCTGCAATACAGGCGTCAAACCTTTGTCCGAAATTTATCTAATTTACAAGCTGTATGAAACCTTCCCTGCGTCCCAAACATCCACTTAAAATCATACTACACTCCCAGCCAGGGTATTTTGCACTTTTATTGAGTGTGTTTTTTCCCTGTTGTCTTTGGATATAAATTTTAGCACTCTATTCGAGAGGCTCTTTCCATTTATTGCACGCAGAGTGCTGCCGCGGCTGTGTCTGCTGTGGCTGCAAGACAAATGCATTAGAAGGATCGATAGGCCAGATATAGGTCTCTATCTATGGCGCGACTTTACGACTGTGTGCGTGTGGATATATCATATTTTTAACAGTCATTGCATAACTGGACTTTTGCGATGCGTTAACGAAGCCAGCGCCGTGCCATCGCCATCGCCATCGGCATCGCCATTGCTGGATCGAACGCATTTGAGTTATGAACATGAAATAAATGCGCCATCGAGTCTAAAAACAGGTGTTGCCACCAACTACCGTTAGAGGCATGAAAAGAAAAAAGAAAAAAAATAACCAACCAAATACTAAACAGGAAAACAGGTACATAGGTATATATATATATACTCATGCTTGAGGCTGGTGACTCTGTGCCTGGTGCCTTCATCCGACGCAAAATGTGTCTCTAAGCCAAAGAGCGTAGAGTAGGTTTGTCAGGCCAAGACCAAGACGACGGCAATGTGATTTGTTGCAAAGTTTATTGGGTGAACTTGATGCAAAACTGGATTTACATAACATTGGGGGACACATTGAGTTACATTTAAGAGTGGTACGCCAGTGGTACACATTTGTGGATTGAATGGTGCGCACGATAGAGGGGAGAATACTACTTTCTTTTACACATACAGAGGTGGTAGCTGGGGTGTAGTTTTTAACTGAAGAATATGGGAACACATGTGCAGCAGCGATAAAAGGCTAAATTTTGGTTTGGTGACACACATTTAAATGAATATTTGAGAGATCGCAAAATATAGCACTGTCTGCGGAGGCTAAAAGTGGCAAATGGGACAATGAGAATCCCATTTTACCACAATTAGAAATTATGATTCACAATTTGTATGGACATACGAGTGGGAAAAATAACTGCTATTTGGCTGTCAAACTATTGTTAATGTTTATGAACTCTTGGGGGAATCCTTCTACCATTTCTTATCGAAACGGGGCCTCACGAACCTCAGCAAAAGAGAACTGCCTCCCTATGCCTCATTTATGCCACCACACTAAAATATTCAAGGGGGAAACGCTCAATCTCAATCTCAATCTGATACTCTTAAATAAATTAAACCTCAAATCTATAATTATAAAGCCTGGCTACTGGCACTACATCAACATTTAATTGTGTGTTTAAGAGCACTCGCTCTTGCCGCCGTCAGACTCTCTGGGAACGCACTCCGTGTGCGTGCCCCTGATGAAGGTGCAACTATTCCACGCACATGAGCAGAGCGCTGAAAACTTTCCCAGCATATTTAAAACTAATTCAGATGATTACAGACAATTTGACGAGGTTCTGGATAAGTCCAGAGCTAGAGCAGAGCCAAGACAGTGCCAGAGAGAGAGGCCAAGGCCCCTGTCCCCGATACAACGTGCATCCCAATCATCATGATGATCTTCGTCATGATCATGGGATCATGCATAATATGCGAAAAAGTTTCTATAGAAAAGAATTAGATAATGCCGACTGAAATGACTGAAATGCGATGCTGGCGTTACACGTCGCTGGCTCTGAATTTATGCATGCCTGCCCGCTTTTACTGAAGAGACACAGCGGAGCAGCAGCAGTCGTCACATGTAATCTAGAATCTTGGCAACGTCTTCATACTTAGTGGGGTAATGTCAGAGGGTTGGTGCACACATGCTGCTACACCTATCTTTCTCTCTCTGTTTCTATCTCTCTCCAGAGTGTTGAAAGTTCTGGCGTGTCCATGTTTGGGGTCAGATTACATGACACTGATTCCTCCACTTCTAACAGACATCTTCTACATACATACATATGTACATATATGTATGTTGCATGGCGCGAAAGCATTGCTACAAATGTCTGTGGCTTTTTATTGTTTTGGATTTTTTTTCTCTCTCCTTATTCTCTTCTCAACCACAACGATCATCATCATCATCATCCGAAGAAGCAGCAGCATCATCATTATCACAATCATCATCTATAGGAAACGTCTCAGCAGAGAAGAAAGAGCCTCTGTACGTTCTTTACACTTTTTCTAGTTATTATTGCTCTTCTTTCTGGCTGTTTTTTGATGGGTTTTTATTAGGTAACATTAGAGCCAGGTCCAATTATGGCAGCCGGTTCTTGCTTAAAGGGAACAGGTGGGCTTTTCGAAGGTTTTTATTTCGGGATCCTGCTGTGAGCATAACGAGCAAATGAAATGACTACACAGGATACAGATCAACGGAAACTGATGAAGATATTTCGTAACTCTGATTTTTCCAGACCTTAATCTGTACTATTTGCGAGTGCATGTGCGATCGTTGCAAACGTTGGGATCGTGTAACCCTGGGTTTGCTGCTGCTGCTGCTGCTGCTGCAACAATGACTGGCGGGGAGGCGGCACTCAAGTGTAATCGCTACACGGTCATTATTATTACCTCGCAGATAAGTATACTTTATTCTCAGAGAGCCCACGGTTCATGGCGACTGGGAAAAGCTTTCATATTATTGTTTGGCGCGTCTTTTGTTACATTTTCTTTTGGCTTTGGAGGCTGGCACTTGATACTTGCTATAAACCGTTAGCCCAAAGTGCTGCCTGGCCTAAAGTCTGGGCCAAGAAACGAGACGACGATGACGACGACGACGTTGACGGAAGTACAAAACGGCAACAACAATCATTTGTTGGCTGGACCATCATTATGCCAACAAATACAAAGAAGAAACTGCGAAGCTGTCGACTGTGGACTGTGGACTGGGGACTGGCACTTACCTTCACAATGAATACCATTGCCACGATAGCCCGGAAAGCAGGTACACGTATAGCTGCCCAATGTGTTTGTGCAATGGGCAAACACATCGCATGGATGCTGTTTGCATTCGTTCTCATCTGAAAAAGAGATTTGGTGTAACGGTTATGTAAAAAGAGAAGCCAGTAGCTCTCACTCACCTAGGTCAACGCAATTGCAGCCGCCATAGCCATCGTTGCAATGGCAGACGCCATTCAAACACGCGCCATGTGTGCACACTGTGCCGTCCTTATCACAGTCATCTAAACAGGAGAGATTGAAACATAATGTTAGACTATCCAAAACAACAAAAGATATTCCTAGGATTACTCACTTGTGCATTTGAGCTCTTTGTTTTGCTCATCGGAACCAAGATAGCAGTCTTGATTGCCGTCGCATAGTTTCGATAGTTCGTATAATTGCAAATAGTCTGTCGACTCGTTGACCTGGCATCCAAAGTAGCCATCCTCGAGATTCAGGAAGAATACCTCGCCACGAAATCGACTGTTCTTTCTCAAATTTGTCTGGATACGTTGCGGTTGTTGTGAATATTGTGAATGTACCTGTGTTTGGGGGTTGGAGCAAAACAAAAGAATTGTTGTATTAGTTTAATTACACGCACAAAAGTCGGAGGAAGCCTGCAGCTTAACCCCAATTCCCCCTTAATGGCAACCTTCGCTGCAACCTCTACCACCAGGGGGACGGACAGGTGGCGGCGGCAGGGGCACAATCAGGTTTAAACTAATTTAAATTCAAATTAGATACAGAAAAGGTAGCAGGCGTAGCACCGGCAGCACCGCACCAACCAGAGCTTCTTCTTCCACACAAACAGAGAGCGCGACAGAGAGAGAGACAGCGATTTAGTAGATGATTTCTCAACCACGATGTGGTCCATATGGGCACGATGCGATCGTACCAGGCTATAGCCATACCATACCATACCCATACCATAAAGACATTCACATCGCGGGTATGGGAGCATAGAGTAGTAGTGTAGTGCCGCTCTGCTACTGCCTGTTGCTGGCGTTGTTTTGCCGCCACTTAATTGTTACACTTGGCTGATTTTACTTTTAACAAAACAAAAGTTGTTTGCCGTTTGCCATATTTTCTTAGCCAAAACTCTCGGCTGCCGACAGCAGCAGCGGCAGCGGCGTCTGTCTGTTTCTGTTTCTGCCCGCTCGAGTGTTACAAACATTAGATATAGGCTCTGGGTCTGGGAAACACGTTTGTCACTTAAGACCTTTTTGTGCTCCAGCAAAATGAATTAAAACTAGTTTCTTCTATATTCACACACTGCTGGCTGCTGCTATATGTACATATGGACACTTCTATTTTCGTATCTGGTTTAATTTGACTTCCTACGTCGTGGCTATTATTTTGTCGAATATAGTCATTAAATGGCGGCTATGCTTTGGGTATACTTCTTCCAGCATTCCAACAATTCCAATCTGCTTGCCAATTGTATTGTGCGGTTCCGTTCAGAACAAGTTCAATTGAACGGTTCATTGAAATGAACTACAGAAAATTGTTTGTGCCATGTAAATAGGTTGTTCCATCGTTCCACTTCCAATTGTTCCACTTCAAAGTTGTTGCATTTATTTTTAACGACTCTTCAAGTCAACAAATCAAAAACAAACCTATGAACTAACTCCGAAAATTGAATTCAACTCTATTTTCTATTTGCAATTATTCCATTATCAGATTAAACTAAATAAACTGTTAAATAGTTTGTAATTTGTTGTGGTGCAAATGTTTTATTTTAAATCTTATTTTGCATTTTGAGAGGAAACATATATGCTCTCATCGAATTACTCTCGAATTGGTACAGCAGAGATAAAGAAATTATAATTCGCTCTATATGAATAAGCTTCGATCGTATACCGATATTGATGAGCGATGGAATACGACGTTTACCAACACTGATATGAATAACACATCAAGTATCGATTGCATTCAATTGTTGGCCTCGCGCGCGAAAAATCTCTGCCATTTTCTTAATTTCCTCATTTACGACCAATTTTCATTTCGTTTGTTGTGGCTGCTTAATGAGCCGCACAATGGAGTCTACGAAAAGCCACTTGAAGTGCTATACGACCCTGCAGGAAGGTGTGAACGCAAGGCAGACGGCTGTCAAGTTCAAGTTTGTCTGAGAATTGTTTTGGGCAGATTCGTATCGGGCCATCGCCACCGCCAGCCACTAAGCAGCAGCACCGCAGCCCGCATCGTCATCATCATCTGCTACTCGTGGAGGTTCTATGTTGTTTTAAGTTTTCAATTGCTCGCTTCACGCCATGCAACGCTAACGGCCTTGCTAAACAATAGATTCAGCCGCCAGTCGCTGTCGTCGGTTGCTGCTGCCCTGCCTCCTCCGCCTCCTGCACTTTTGCCTCCGCCTCTGCCTGCTACCTGTGTATCTCTGCCACTATGCGGCTGTTACTTTTATCAATTGACAGGCGTCGGCGGCGTCACAATAAGCAGCACATGCACTCAACTGAGGGAACAGCAGCCCCAGCGATGCAACAATTAAAGGCGTGCGAGTAAAGATGTGCGAAGCCGATGTGGGGATGCTGATGTGGATGATGATGATGCGACTGCTGCTGCTGATGCTGCTGCTGATGCTTCTGCTGAACGGCTCCCATGACATTGAGCGGCGCGCCGTGTGTGCCAGGCCCCGGGAACGACTACAATGAGCAATTTTTCGTAGCCAAGCGGTTGGATGGCTGGCTGGATGGATGGCTCGCTCGCTCGCTCGGATGCTTGTTAACAGCCACAATGACAACGGCAGACAGATGACGACGTTGCACGTCAACGCTCAAGTGCATCCGTTATAACTGTCAATGAACATTAACTCTTGTTTCGCACTGTGTCGCCTCTCTCTGCTGTTGTTTTTGGCAACAGCAGCAAGGTAAGGCCAATAAATAAACCACAAAATTCGCAACTAATTATCATCTCTAGCTATCTACCTATCTCTAGCTCCAACGCACAAAGATCTAATCAAATAAATTATAACTGCCTCCGTTGGCTACGAGATTAGACCATAAATCATATCCCAACGCACAAAAGAAAGCAAATCTATGAAACCAAACAACAAGAGAGGGCCCCTCCATCTCCATTGACAGACCAGACGTGTCGCAGAACAAGCCACAAAAACGAGTATAAAGTCAATGAACTCGCCCGCTCGTCTTACCTTTCGGCTTAGAGAGCATTCTTTTGGCCAATTTCTCAAGGCACCGAACCTCGCCGCACCGTGTTCCCGGCACTCGGAGTGCATAAATCGATGACTATCAAAGCGTTTTTTTACAGCTAATGCGGCTATTTTTATTCATTACGTTTTCTTGGCTTTCTTCTATCGATTGGAGTCCCGGCCCCAGCTTTGGCTGCGTCCGTCCAGTCGTTGACCGTAGTGGCGGCCCAGTCAGTGATTTTACTCTTCCGCCTGGCCCTATCATTACTGCCACACTCTCTTCGTGCCTCTCTCTACCTTTAGTCGCTCGGCTTGCTTTTTTGTTTGGTTTGATCCGGAATTCTTGTGTCTGGCTGCCAAATTTGCTTTGCATCTTGGATCATCTTACGAGTAGGTTTTCCTCTCTGATTTCACAGTCAGATGTTAGTTTTAATAAATATGTTTTACCTATGCATGGCCGGCCGTGGAGTCGGTCGGAGTCGAGTCATTTGGCAGTAATTTCTTTTTATGGCTCATTTGCATGACAGGAGACCGGCGAGCGACCAGGTACCGTTAGGTCATCAAAGGTCTCTACCATCTACCATCGCTATATTATGCTCTACCCTTCCATTCTTTTTCTCTCTGTCCGTTCTGTTTGGGGTTTCCATTTCCCCCATTTGAGATATTTGTATACGAATTTGTTTCATAATGAGGTGCCAGATCGTAAATTTAACCAATATCTTTCTCTTCGGGGCGTGAGCCCCTCCTTTGTTTCGAGCCTTTTCGAAAGGCTTCTTCTTGAGAACTCATAAATTCATTATGAACCATACGCTAACTGCTGGATGATCTAATCGCATTCTTAAAGCTACTTATTTTTTAGTTTAATGTTTAATACTTACTGCACTCGAGAGTAGTAGCACTATCCACGTGACTAGTGGCAAAAATATTTTCATTTTTGCTGCAAAGAAATGGAAAGAAAAAAGAAACAGAAATCGTACATTAAAAACCATTAAAATCATGTTAAGTAAATGAAACAAAAATACAATTAAGGCTAAGGCGATTTGTGGGACTTGAGCTTGAGTCCCAAAACAAATACAAATAATTAACTTGAAAATTTTGAGCACGAAGAGGCAGCCAGAAATTGGCCTGGTCATCTCGAACAGGTGCCAAAAAATAACAGAAAAAGAAACAGAAACAGTGGAGAAAGACAGACAAAAGACAAATGTGTGAGGACAGGTAAATGACACTTGAAATTTATGCGCAAACACGGGCCCTGTCACCGGACTTGTGTATCTTTACTTTTCCCCTGAAAACTTATACAACAACGGGACCGGCATAAAAATTTTCAACCCAAACAACCATTTGGCGAATGAACAGCAAATGTTTTTTCATTGTTTGTGGCACCAAACAGTTTTCTCACGCATTCCATTTTCCACTTTCAGTTTCTCGCCATCACTTGGCGACTGATTTTCATTAGAGTTTGGGCTGTCCAGTCGCCTGGGACGACTGTTAATTGGATAGAATGACTGAAAATTGTGTTTCTCCGTTCGAGGGAAAAATGTCATAATTTTTGTGTGGAAAACAGATAGCATCTTTATATGGTATAATTACGATATAACCGGACAGACAGCACAGGAAGTGGGCCCTGGACCAAAGTTTGGGGCGTTAACAAAACAACTTTCTCAGTCGAGTGTGTAAAAGTATTTGCCCATTATCTATCTTGGGTGTACATGTTAAAAATGTAGCCTTTGGCTGGCAATAAAACCTTCAACGGGCCAAAGGGTACTACAACCACAGAGTTTGGCAAAGGAGTTGCGTTTCCCTTACGATTTATCTGTTTCAGTTTATCAGCTAATAAACGCTTAAATAAAATACACACTCTGAGCTAAATTACATGCGCTTTGGCTGTGCTGTGCGGATCCTCAGGATGCTGCAGTTCTGAGACTGGGGATCCCAGTCTTGTTTGGCCTGTTGCTGTTGCTGTTGCGCTGGTCTTGGCCATAAAAAGAATTGGCTTGGCCATAGATTTGCTCTGTTCTAACGACATTTGAAGTGCTCCAGCCATCTTCTAATCTTGTTTGGTCGTTTGTGTGGCTGGGTACCATCTCCATGTCCGGGTAGGGGTACCACCAGCTCTCCGAGGTCTCCCAAGCCTTTGGCGATTTGTGTTTGCCCATGTTCATGATCACTTAATTAAAGCTGCCTTTCCTCTGGTTTCCTCAAACCAGAGAGAGGTTCATTTTATGTTTATTGTGGTTGAGAATATTCTGTGATGCCTGATAAATTTATGTAGCCGCAAAATGAGCGTAATTTGGTTGGTTCTTTCCCTCTTATTTTTTTCCGATTGACTCTGGCTCTGCGATTGGGTTGGGCTGGGTTGCGTTCCCTTTTTTCTTTTAAGGGGCCTTGTGGCTGACAAGCTGATATATGTGCGTGATAAATGTAGCAAATGCTGTTGTTCAGCTGCCTGTTGCCGGCTCACGCTGATTGGGAATCACGAATTGCATAGTCGGAGTCCAATACCAAATGCAATGCGGCAGCCCAAGAGCCTAATCTCTGGCACGTATTTCAAATTTCCAAATTATCAGCCGTCGCAACAAATCGAATAGCCATTTATCTGAGATTCGCCCTTAATGGCTTTCTTTGTACTGTCACGCTTTTAATTGTAATTGCCTTCGGTTTCACTATCTTGGGAGCAGTTTAAGACTTAAGAAAACCGATGGACACACACCCGAAGTGGCTTTAAGACCGATAGTCAATTCGCTTCGGTAAAAACGGATGTTAATAGCTATGCAGCTAATTAATTAATATAGCTTATGCATACTTTTAGTTTTTTCAAAAGACAGATCCATACAAAGATCTGCTGGATTTTCGTCATGCTTTTAGTATTTTGTGTTATATAAAATAAGTCATGGGTAATTTCATCGTGATCTCAACATCGAAATCTTTATCGATAAATCCATTGCAAAGTCTAATCGATACCGTTATCACTTATCGATTTCCTACACAGGTATACTTTAAAAAAAATTATTGAAATCCTTGAAAATAAATGATGTACAAATCTGTGGGGTTACTTTTGTACTCAATCATCATTTTCCATATTTATTGTAGAAAATAAAACATGAATGAAATCACTTACAATGATATAGGGGGTTGCTGGTTGTACATATTCAGTACTTTCAGTATTTTTTATAAATATTCAGATCATTAAAAATAAATGAAATCATTTTTCATTCAACCATTCGAAATATATAGGCGATTATTGGCTGTAATAAATCGATATTTTCAGTGCTTTCAAAAGCATTTGGTTCATTGAAAATGAATAAACTCAAATCCATTCTATCCATTCAAGCATTGACATTATTAAGCATATTCCCCGCCCTCTGCTCAGTTAACGGCACACAAACGGCTCTCATGAGAGATCTCTACCTCCACGCATGTGAGTGGTAGATCTTATCAAAATATTTGTACAATGTCAAATAATTTTGAATGAAGGCCAGTCGCCGCCAGCGGGGCTCTACTTTCAGTTGATGTCGTCGTAGCCCCCCTTGGTATGAAGCCGAAATTCGTTGAATTTCTTGATCTCTCTCTCTCTATCTCTTTCGATGTGAAACTGGCTCTTCGGCCTGCTATACCCCTTGGATGCTGTCAACGCTATCGTCGCCGTCATCAACGTTTGCTGTCGCTGTGTCGCCGTCGCTGGGGGATGATCTCATCTGGTATTAACCTGTCTAGCCACTAAATCAAAGTCAAAGAAGCGAATGACACATTTTTGCCCGATCGTCCGAACAAACATTCTGTACGTAAACCCCAGGCACAACACATTGGAAGTCTAAATTAATGATGGCATCTTTATTAAAAATAAATGCTGATAGCTTGAAAAATGTCTACACACCCAAAGTATGCGACCGGATGCGTCAGACGCATCATCGAATGCAATGACTCGATTAACAGTAGTTTGGAAATTTTGTTTGCATATAAATACTGTACAAATGTACTTGTTACGGGTATACCCAGTACTTCTATAGTTCAGGAGAACATTTTGAACGTGAAAATGGCTGTATCAGTTAGAGTTAAGCGTTTCCAAAGGTTGAATAAAACGCGGGACACATTTTTTAAGCTACTAAAAATTCCAGAAGTTCGTTTATAATCTACTCAATACCCGGTATTGCATAGTCGAAACACTCGACCTATAGTTTTATCTGTTATTTCTCTCGTATTTCATTTTGCATGTCGCGTTTCGTGCAATCGGTTTTTGATTGATTTCCAAATTGCAGGCGGCGCCCCATTTATTTGTGTGGCTGAATATTTTCGTATCATAAATCTCCCCTTAATCGATTAAAGCTGCTGCTGGGGGCCAGGCCCTTGCCACGCCCACCTGCTGGTGGGCTAATCAATTAATTATACTTTTTCAATGTCAAACTGTCACAGAGACCAGAGGGTGCGGTGCATCCTCTCCGCTTTTGCTCCCTTTGGCTGGACGCATAAATCTTGTGGCACAGCGGCGCCATTAACTCGCAACTTGCGCGCTTTATCCTGCGTCTTAACATTTTGTCTAATTGTGGGTTTTCTGCCGCCTCACACTGAAGGTCACTGACAGCCACAACGACTCCGAGTCGGAGTCGGAGTTGGAGTTGGAGTCCACAGTCAGGCTTATGAGTGCCCCAGACATAAATACATACATATGTACATACGAGCATTCGCGCCTGGCAGACAATGCCGCCGCCGCCGCCGGCCTGTCTCCAACAAGCTGCGGGCTGCGAGGAGTTTGGTTGCAGTCATACAATCTGCTCACCTGCCCGCATGCCCCCAACTGTTGCGGCAGGAGCCGCAGCAACTGCAACCAGTTCGCATGAAAATGCATAATCAATCAAAAGAAAACAGAAACAAAGAGAATGCCACAGTTTTGTGGTGGAAAATGAGATGCTCTTCTGAAAGGTATTAACCCTAAAAATAAATAAAATCTTAAATATTTATAAAGGGTGCTACACTGTTCTACTTATTGAAATTTCTATTTATTTTCTATATTTTATTTCCTTTAAAAGCTGCGGCTAGCATAAACCACAAAAAAAAAAAAATATTTATACCCAATGACAAGACAGTTTAAGCGCAAAGTTAGGGTATATCTTGCATTCCAACGCCCATTGACCGTATCATTGATGCATCTTCATATCTGGTAGACTCGTTCGACAATTCGCACGACTCGAATATGTCAAGGTGCGAGTGCGAGTGCGCATGGTTTAGTGGCCTGTCGCCTCGCACCATATTGCCAGCTCCAGCTCCAGCCTACAACTTGTTAACAATTCGTGTAAAGTTGCCGCTCATTAAAAACTCATAAATCAGAGCAGCAGAGAGGCGGCAGAAGCAGACGCAGAAGCAGCAGAGCCCGAAGTAATTGCCGTTTCTGGCCCAATGTCAAAATAAAGGAACTCGTACCGGTCGCCGGAAATGATCGACCACCGGGGTAACAGCTGTTTTGCAGCCCGCTATGTTGGCATGGCATAGCATGCCACGGCATTGCTTGGTACTAGTACAATTTCCGCATTGACATCCAAGAGTATTGGAAGTCTCTGGATGGGTCTTTGATTAATGATAAATGCGCTCAGCGCATCCGCCGCTATGACATTTATCCAGCATCGGCCTGAGAACCCAGCCGAGGCGACGATGATGAAGAAGCCAAAGCCAAAGCCATTAAGCCGCCTCGGAGGAGTTGCCGATGCAGTCCGTTGAAGTTGCTCAGGCGCACAATTTAAAGCAAAACTAACGCAGTTAGACAACAAAACCACTTTCAAGTGGTGGTGCTGCTGTTGCTGTTGCTGTGGCTGTTGCTTTTGGCCAACTGGCTGTGGAGCTTCCCTCCGGTCCCCGTTCACCGTTCCCCGGTCCCTAGTCCCGGTCGAGGGAAACAGCTTTCTGGAAAACGGCTTTCAACTCGTTTCAGTTGCTGGCTGGCTATTGCTGTTGCTGCTGTTGCTGTTGTTGGTGCTGTGCCGTGGGTGCAGCCGTTGCATGTTGCATGCTGCAAGTACGTTCAACTTTTCCAGTTAACAGTTAGATTTTGAAATAGCCAACAGCAGCATCGGCAGCGACTTCGACTTCGGCTTGGGCATACCAGTTTCTGGCCACGGCCTGAGAACCCAACTCCAACTCCAGCGATCAAGATGCGCAATCCGTCGACGGAAGGAAATTGCAGTCCAAGTCGAGTCGCTCCATCGAAGAGCTCTTTGTGGCAGTTGCATTGCGCACATAAAATAAATACTGGTGCTGGGCAATTTTTGTGTTAAAATAAAATTAAAGCAATGCAAACGGCTTTGGTGTAACATTAACCCAAATACATAATTCTTGGCGCATTCAAAGCCAGGATCTTAGCCCACATCTCGGGCACATTAATCATTTGGCTGTGGGACAGGCCATAGCTCGCATCGGATTTGGGTTTATGGGTGAGTGCCTCCTGACGCTACCTAAAGCAGGAAGTCATTAATGGTCCAGGGAATCCGTATGAATTTGAGCGATTCTTTGGAATTTTTGTGCTCGTCTGAAGATCAGTTTTTCGGATGGGGAAGGGTATGAGGTATGTTGCGAAAAATTGGGGGCTCTGCTAGGATGATTCAGGGGAAGCTTCGTTGTAGAAAGGTTGGGGGAACAGCACGAATTTACTCCATGCCTCAGGATATGACATGAAATGGGCTGAGGCGCGTCTAATATCTTTGAGCCATTTCAAAGCAGCTTTACCCAACAGAAGCTGTCCTCAAGAGAGCATAACTTGAAATCTTGGTTGCCCAATGCTGAAAGTTCAAGAACAAAATGTTCCCATAATTTCCATTATATACCTTCAAGTGTTTAAGCCCAAGCTGTCCAGATCCTTGTGCATCAATAGCTGTGATGATAAACGCAACGAGGACTGAGGGTCAGTCCGATGTGGAACAATGCATACATCTTGTCAGCGAGAAGAGCAGCTGAGCTGGCTGGGATCGATTGACTTTTGCTGACTGTTGACAAGTTTTTGATAAGATTAATATGCCGCACGAGCTTAAAGGTTAAGCATGCAAAGCAGACGAATGCGAGGGAGCATTGCACGCGCAGAAGGACAGTCATCCAGTTGGAGCAGGAGCCTGGCACCATGTTCGAGCTACTAAATCTCTTTATCGGATAGTCTCAACGATGAGAATGGGTATGGGGATGGGGATGGGGATGGCGATGGCGTAAACAAGCAACACAATGGGGGAACCTGGGAGACGACTTTAGCGACTTATTTGTAGTAGCAGCCACTACGCACTGGCCCCTGCCTGATGTATTGTCTCTCTGGCTGGGCTGCTGGACTGCTGGGCTGCTTGGCTGCTGGCTGGTGTCTCCTCTGGTTTATGGTGTGTTGGCCCCTGTTTTGTTTATGCACCCAATGAGATCCACCAGCGATATGTATTCGATTTGTTAAGAAATGGCACTTGGTGTACCGTAACCGTAATCGAGTTAGGGCAGAAGTGCGATGATGCTGGAGCGCGATGGTGCGCGCGATTGTGACAATAGCCATGACATAATTGAGACATTATCGATGCCATGCCACTGGAAAGACTCTATTCTCGTTGCGAGCAGTAGCCGCAGCCGCAGCCGCAGTCGAACCGCATCGAAGAGAAATGGCCATCGATGGTCGCGCTTCGTTGGGTGGATGAAAATGTCAAGGTTAAATGCTTAACCTTTTGGCAAAGTAGCTGCACGAGCGGCAAACAATTTAAATGCAATTTTTGCTTAAATAAGAAATAAAATCCGAAATGCAATGCAAGTTGACTGCGACTGCAAGTTCGAGTCGTCGTCCCTGCCCTGCCCTGCCCTACCCTGCCCTGCACTGGCCTGTGTTTCTGAACGCAACAAAGCCAACAAAACTGAACAACAAATATTTGCTAATTTATCCTGTACGTGTCCTCCAACTAAGTGCACAGGTTTTAGGCCTTAAGCCGGCACGTTGGACATGTCTGTGCTGTGATGCTGTGGTGCTGTGGTGCTGTGCCCTACCCCTAGCCAGAGTCAGAGCCAGAGCCTATGCTCTGCCTCTTTTGGCCGTGTTGATTGTTTGCGTTGGACGCGCGGTGGACGCGCTGGCTGTTAAAATGCCTTTGATCTTCTGATATTTCTTGGCCTGGCCCCCAGACCGAGCGGACATGCCAAAAAGCCTCAGCCCCGACGCACGGCGGGCGTATTTAACTTGACTTTGACTGCCTCTCCCCAGTATCGGACCGGGTCCAGCTTCAGCTTCAGCTTCAGCTCCAGCTTCAGGCCCTTTTCTGGTCTCTCTGGGCCCATCCTCCCGGTCTCTGCCCCAGCGGGCAACTTGTTAAAAAGAATGTTGACTGCAGGCGACGCATGTTTTTCTTCCTCTCCCTCCGTTTGGGGTTTCGGGGTTTGAGCTTAAGTTTCTTTCGCTTTTCGTTTTTGTTTCAGGAATGGCAATGGCAATGGTCGCGCAGTGTCCGTAGTGCAAAATTTCGCTTTCATTGCTGACCATGACGCTGTGATTTTTTACCCCGTACTTAACCCAGAAATTAGCTTCGATTTTTTTCTGTTTTCGTGCAGTAACCTACCAATTGTGATGGCAACCCTGGCGGTGACCAGCCTTTAATGCATTTTCAATGATGACTTCGTATCTTTGCTTACCTGCAAAAGAGCGAGAGAGAGGGAGAGAGAGAAAAAAGGAAGGTGTTAATTAGGCTTTTTATAGTGTGTCATGACTTAAACTACGATCTGTGTCTGTGTCTGTTTGCCCTGTGCAACATTATTGGCCACAACCACAGCCCATACCCAAGCGATGATCCTCCGGGGGCCCTACATCTTGCTAAACATAAATGTCAATATTTATTTACACCGCTGCGGTTGCAATTTATTTCAAGTTTTTAATTGAAAAGGCTGTCCCTGGACTGTGGCTTCAATATGCAGCACAATGTGTCTAAGCTGCGCCTCGTAAATGTCCAGAGAGTCGTAAATTGTGCACGCACTCTGGGAGAAATACATATATATATATATGGATTTTCGTTAAATGTGCCAAGGGCATAACCTCTAAAAAAAAAAGGTTTTTCATTTTTGAACAAGGAGAAGAAAACAAAAACAGGGAAGTTACACTGAAAGGAAGCCTCTAGTTTGTAGAGGAGCTTCGCCTGGAATGTACAGTACGCTCCCACCACCTGGACTTAGGGTACTTGCCACCTCTATTATAGATAAGTGATAAAATCAGTAAAAGATATTTCCTTTAGAATAAAGAATGTATAAATTTTAAGCTTTAAAAGAAGGCGCTCTCACAGCATTTATAAAATTAGATTAAAATATGAATATTTAACTAAAATATTAACTTTTTAATGGAGAACGAATACACATTCAGTTTCTTCCACAGATTTACTTCAAGTTTCCAAAGCACTGCATTAATGACTAAACCCCGTGTAAGGCATTGCCAGCTCTAATCAAAAGCAATCTGTAAACCCATTAACTCGCTTCAATACCAAAGCTGACACACTTTCTTGAAGTGTAGTCGCCTCCCAAAAACCCACATGTGCGGGACCTGACCTCCAATTCGATGAGTGCCTGTGGCGCCTTTCGATGGCCTGGCTTTCCAAACTGCACAATTTTCGCCTACGCTGACGCCGAGTGAAAGAGACCAGAGTCTGGACAAGGAGGAGGAGGAGGAGAAGAAGAAGGAGGAGGAGGAGGCACTGCATTCCGGCCTGCAGACTCGAACCATAAATGGACACACACGATCTTTGAGTGCAGTCCAAGCTCGCCCATAAATGGAACTGGCCATTAGAAAGGTAAATTGCAGTCGATTTAATTCAATGCAGGCCGAGGGAAGTACCAATCCCAGTCGTAGTCTCGGCTCTAATTACAAGTGTTTTGGGCCAGTAGTTGGTGACCTTTTGGGACGCTTCGCTGATTTGTTTAAGTGCTCCGCACGCACTTGACGTGGGACACCTATCCAGTCCCACCCTTGAAGACGGGCCACTAATGATGATAGAGCGCCTGGGATCCACTACAAAACGATCAATCATAAAAGGGCAGTAGCTAACGGAAATACACAGATATATTTTTTTTTCGTTGAGTCAAGAACCCAAAACGGGTATCAGACACTCACTTCTGAGCACATTATCCGCAACCAAAAGTGTCGACTTCTCCCTGTCTTTTTTTTCATTCCCCCCTGCAGACTGGCCAAGTGCGTGTTTGGTTTGTATGGCAGGTTCCACTCCAAGCTTAGGCTCTTACAATTCTAATTTATATGATTTTTACGTATTTTATCCGGCGGAAGTAAACCTTCGCTGGTGTTGTGCCGTCGTCTCTTGCCACTTCTGGCTGCTTCTTTCTCCACTTCTTGGCCCATGTTTATTTGTGTTGTAAATTGCGAATGCGCCCCAAAGCGGTGCGCAGTCGCAACACTGACAACAAAAGGAGTTAAATTCAGATGGATTTTGAGAGCCGAAGGCATAGATACCCTTGAATAGTGAGTGGTAGGATATATTCATACGATTGTGGTTGGAATATCTTATGAAATGTTTGTGCCATATCTAATTAAGAATCTAGATACCTATAATAATAGGAAACTTGTGTGCATAAAATATAGAAAGATGAACATGTGTGCAGTGTCTAGACCTAATCAGATCAAAAGTGCTTCCACTTTTCTTGCCTTGCCAAACAGCTCTTCAGAATCATAGTACCCTCTTCAAGCGTACAAAGAGGAAAACATAACGCGTAGTCCCGCACTTCAATAAACAACACCAGCAACAACTATAGATACATATATATATATGTATATACACACAGACGATATACAGACTTGGGCATTAGTTGCCGGTGGCTGGCATTGCGTACGTGCCCGGACCCGGCGTCGCCATCGTCGTCATCATCGTCATGATGATGTTGATGGTTTCTTTGGGTTTACCACTGACAAAGACGACAACCACGCATCGTAAAAAGAGTTTTATGCAATTGCCTATTGTATAATAGCTCCATGTGCCAGTGTGTATGTGTCTGTGGTGCGGTGTGTGTGCGTATGTGAGTGGGGTATGTGCTCTGCATAATTTTATGATTCGCCTGCAAGTTCCTGCAACTGAAGCCAACTCAAGACCCATGTCCATTGGCAATTCCAAGCCCAAAGTCGTTGCCGAATCGATCGCCGACTTCTTTTCTTTTTTGTCATGGAACGCGTGGGCGATGAACGATGAGCAGACAGACGGCCTGGCCCAACCAGCGTTGGGGCGTGCGTGGATTTGATGCATTGATTGAATTTAACGTAATACAATTTGGTCGATGCTCTTGACCAGAAGGGCCATGCCATACCACGCCATGCCATGCCACGAAGCCATGCCACAGGGGCCCCCAGCATGAGTCAGGCGGTGATGTGGGCAGCAGCAAAGTATGATTATGTGACTAGAATTGGAATGCCCGGCCAGAGGATGGACTTTGTTGGGTGATTGGGTGAAGGCGATGGTGATGGTAATTGTAAATGGCCGGACAGCTCGGTAGCTGCCATTCAGTGTTGCCAATTTAGCCAAATTTAGGCATGCGACTCTACTGGGCTTTGAAGCTGGAATGTGATGCTTTTTTGTGAGATATATAATCGTTCTAGTTAGCGTTGAACACAATAATTAATCGCTTACAACAGAACAGCTATCGATGGGAATGAAAAAAAAAATAAAGAGACAATATACCGCAAAAATCAAAACCCAATTAGAGATGAAAGAGACCGAGCGACTAAAGTAAAGATAAAAATTCTACTGGACTTATTGCTGAATAGTTTCTTAAGGAAATATAAAAACGTTCGATAGAAGAAGAAATAAAAACCTTGGCATAGAAATTCTTATTAGGAATAGCGCTTTCGCAGAGGTATCTTCTCCAGAATTACCTTAGACCACAACCATCACATCTCACATTTGAGAGCTAACAAAGTTTGAAATGCTTGAACCATAAATCATCTCAGCGATGATCATGAAGCCTATTCGAGGTTTATCTTGATTTATTTAGTTTCCTATAATTTATGACTTCCCAAGAACATCACAAAGCGATATTTCTGGCTAATCCTCGGCGCAGCGTAATGCATTCCTGTTTAAATTATCATACAAGTACGTACTCGTACTCCCGATTCAGTGGCAAGTAGCAGACTGGACGCGAGTGGACCTTGAAATCCACCAACTACATGCAATTTAAATATACAAAAATAACTAAATCTAGACATAAAAAAAAGCGACAACAGTGCCGCGAACAAGAAGTCTTGTAAAAATGCAAATCAATAAGCAAAGTTTCCAGTTTGCCAGCAATAAAATAAATGTAAGAAGCCAGCCATAAAAACCATCGACATGAAGTTCGGCTACAGGAGTACGAGTTTTTCTCTGTTATACGAGAGAATGCGGGTCTCCTTTTTTAGTTGTTTTTTATTTTTATTATTTTTTTTTGTGTGTGTTTGTGTTTTGTGTCGCATCTGGCAGCAGTTGCAATTTGGTTTAGTACCTAGGTGTTAATTATCGCTAAAAGTCAATGGCGGACAATCGGCGAAATCTGTACAGGGGCATCTCGCATCGCGAATTGTCGCTGTCCACCATATCGGCATCGGGGGCTGTGCTTTGCATCTGTGGCCCCAAGAGAATACTTAGAGAGGAGTGGGAACTCAAGCTCGAGTGTGCAGCTAAGTGGATTGGAGTGGAGTGGAGTCCAGAGTGGTGGCTGTGGACTTGGTTGCAGGTTGCAGACCACAACACACACTCACACACACACACATTTTGCTGCAGTCGGACAGCTGTACAAGTGGCCAAGAGAGTGGCCACGATAATTAATATGAAAATATGTGAGGATAGAGCAGGACAACTCCCCAGGAACAGAACCGAACCGAACCGAACTGAACAGAACAGAACACAAATGTTTGCTGCTATTTTTAGCGGGCCATTTTTAATGAGCCCTGTCCAAAGTCGTGCCAATGCTGGAGGTTGCTGGATATCCTGGCTGCCTGGCTACTCCTCCTCTGGCCCACCCGGGTGTCCTAATTATGCGCTTATTTCTTTTTGCTTTTATGAATTATTAAAATAATCAAAATGGAGCGAGCCTGGGCATTAATTGCTTTATAATAGAGATGGAGAAAACAAATGTAGTAAGCGGCGGCGGGGGTTGGGATTGGTCACTCGTTTCTCCGTTTTGAGTTTCAGTTTCAGTTTCGTTTCAGTTTTTCGCTATGCTCATATTTCTATAATTTATTGTAATGCACTTGGGGCGTGTTTCATTTCTCGCTTTAAAATGGCATAAATATTTAAGCCATGCCCAGCCACAACCCTCACTCTGTCTCGCTGGATGGGGAACAGTATTGAGGTTGGGGTCTGTGGCTATTTAACAATTTATTGTCTGTACATTTATATATATACATATATGTGTATTCATTCCTTTATTTTCAGTTTTTGTCTGAACCTCGGACAGCGGCCACGACCACCTTGATGTTCATGTCCCGAACCCGACAACAGCGACGTCGACGATGACTACGACTTGAGGCCAATTTACTTTACTTTTCATTCATGTTGTACTACGGCGGGTACTACGGCAGTGGGAACAAAACAACAACAACAACAAAAAGAACAAAAAATAAATAAGAAGAAAGAAAAGAATAAGAGAGAAAAAACTGTAAGCTGCGTTCATTACACGTTGTTATTTGTTGTCTGCGGTACATTATTGCTCTTGTTCGCTGTTTTGCTCACCAATTAGCTGCAGTTGCAGTTTGCAGCTTTACAGTTTGTGGCAAAGCGAAAGACTCTGGCAGCGAACTTGCGGCAGTCACTGTTCTGGAAAAGCTCAGCACAAAATGGAAGAAGAATTTTCACAGAACTTGAACTTCAAATGAAAGACTCTGGCAACGAACCTGCGAGAAAACTTGAACTTCAAATGAAAGACTCTGGCAACGAACCTGCGAGAAAACCTTCTCTGGAAAAATTTGCCATGGAAAAGGGTAAGACATGCAGCTGCTCAAAGTATTTGCTACTCTTCTAATCACAGTATTTCCACAGTATGATTTCCTCAAAAAGTGACAAACGAAAGACTCTGGCAACGAACTTGCCGATGGACTTGTACCTTTTGCAGTTATGCAAACGCACTAAAAAACAGGGAGAGTGCCAAGCTTTTGTCACATAAGTTCCACTGTTCTAATCCTCACCCATTGCACAATACTTCGTACTCGTACACCCAAGAAGTCAAAGAACTACAACAGCATTTGGTTGATGATGGGACTGGAGGAGCTTGAGAATTTCTTGCTGACGCACCGGCATCATCATCATCATTATCATCATGATCTCTGACGAAGAGGCACATCAATCAAATGCCTCATTGTACATTGTTTTTACACATTTTGACTACAAGGGCCGTCACTTGAACTTGACATTTGGTGTAAGTGACTATTAGGGGAAGTGCCATGAGAAGGTTCTTCTTCTCGGTCCCAGTCCAGTCCAGTCCAGGCCAGTGTCAGAGTCAGAGCCAAGCCTTTGGCAATTAGCCGTGAATATCAATCAACGCACCATTTGAGTGGAAAAACCGCTCAGCTTTTAATTACACAAAAAGCTCTTTGTGCTGTGCTTTGTGGCTGTGTGTGGGACTTGGAGTGGCTTGAAGGCCTCCCATGTCCCCGCCCACGGTCACCACAAACGCCTCTGCAGCACACACCCGACTCAATCTTGGATGTCGATGTAGCTGTGGCTGTGGCTGTCGATGTTTGTTACCAAGTCGCTTGTTAGAATCGCATTTTCTCTCTTTCTCATATATGCAAAGCGGGCTGGGCTGTTTCTGGTCTCGGTCTTGGTCTCGGTCTTAGCCCCGGCTCACGGGTAATAAGCCAATTGGCGTTGGCCACACTACTCGTACATTTTAATCAAGCCAACAGAGTTGTAAAGCCCACGCACCATCAAAGCCAAATATGTTCCGAGGTGTCGCCAAAGCTGTGAGATGGCGGCAGCTGTCGACCTTCGAAGCGTTGACTCATGGCCCGTCCGTGTCCATAACCGACAAACAAGCTAGAACCGGAGCTGATGAAATTGAGGAGGCTTTTTGGGTATACTTGGGGGGCAAACCCGAAAGGCAATGACCAAAGATATTGCAGTGCTAAAACAAGAATTTCCTAGCTAGAATTTAGCTGTAAGTTTTGCTGAATATTTTATCTCATCCTGAACATGAAAGTTTTCTAAAGAGTGGTATACTGCCTCTTCCTGAATTGTGGTCACAATAACCTCTACACTTTTTTAGCACTTCCTTTATCCACTGACAATTATCTAGCCCCATTTTAGCCTGCTTTATTGCAGTGGACAAATCAAACACCGATATTTCCTTCTTCTTTGAGGAAACCAGAAGTGACTGTCGAGCTTAATTAACAGAAGCGACTCCGACTCGTACCTCTATGGCTACTGTTGACTATATCACTTACTGCGGTGGCTGGCTGTAGCCTGAGGGGTGTCTGTTCAGTGGCCACTGGGCATCGGTCACTGGCTGCCGGTTGCCAATTCGATTAGGCCACGCAAATGTAATTTAATAAATGCGGTTGCCCATGTTGATTAGCATGTGCGGTTTAAGCAATTTACGAGTACTGCCACGCATCCGCGCATCCACAGGATATGAGCTGGCACTCTGACAATGACAGGATGCATCAATGCTCTCTGAAGTCAAGGCGAACTCCAAGATGAACTCCGCAGCGAACTATCCGCCACTGGACACTGGAGACAGGGGAAATGTTTATGGTTATGTGCTCGCCTGCGGTGGCAGCTTCAAACGCTTGGTAATTGAATTTTAAAATGGGGCTCTACGTGCAACAGGCTCCCCATGCTCTCTGTTGTGGCAAGATTAATTTAAATGAAGTTATTAGTCAGCCCGATTGTGCTGTGACAGGGCGCAAACAAAAGACCTAGGCTCCAGCCTCAGCATCAGCGCCAGCCCCAGCCCCAGTTCCTACTCCAACTCCTACTCCAACTGCAGTTTAAAGTGCCCTGATATGGGGATATAGGATATATGCATGTCTACAACGGGTTTTCGTCTGGCACATTGTTGTACGAGTGCTCGTAGTGGTAGTTGTTGCTCTGCATTTGAAAGTTAAATTACGGTAGCGATATCGGAGCAGACATTCCGTTAATTGGCCGCACAACAGGCGGAGATCAGGCTGCGGGTAGTAGCTGTTTTTGGTCTTCAGGAAGATATATTGGTGTTCTGAATACACTTTTTTGTACATTAATTCAGAGGTTTATGGCATCTCCCAGAAGTTTGCCCGCAGAAAGATTTGGCGCGAGAGTATATGGGAATGTATGTGCGAAATTTATTTGGACTAGGCCTTAAAATATTCTGAAAAGTTATTGATGTTCAGGAAATGAATTTCTTAGGTATGCATCAACAATATGAAAAGTATCGTTGGGAATTATTGCATTCCTTCTACACTACAGGGACTGTCTCAAACAATTTTTTAAGATTAAATGATGTACATTTTTACAATCGTTTTTATAATAAATGGTTTGTGATATTTAAAATATGTAAATGAGTTTTCACCAAAGTTTGAAGCAAATTTTGATCGCAACTGTGTGTGTTGATCATTCCGAAATGATTTATTAGTGCGCATCTACATGCATTTGGTCTGAAAATATACTGGATGATTTCTAGATTTATCTATTTGCTGTATGTGCAGGTAAATATATAGATAGGTATGGAATATATGCTTTCTTTGAGCTTTAAAAATATATTCCTCTTTTTTATATATCTTTTGGCAAGTGCAACAAATCTTCGCTGTGCCGCAGCAGAATTTCCTTCTTGATGCTTGGTTTTTCTTTTTCTTATTTTGGCTAAGTCCGCTTTACAGTTGCTACGAAAATTGTTGCAAATTGCAGTTTAAAAAGTTTCCGTGTTGGTTTTTTGTTGCTGTTGCAGTTGCGCGGCACCAACGTGGTTGGTGGCGGCGTCAGAGTCTGCGACTCGGCGGCGACTGCAACTAATATGAGTCATAAATTTAAAGGCTTAACTCGAGATGGAGGCTGGGCCTGTAGTTGAAGCTGTGCCGTTGACAGGGATTTTTAAAATGAAATAAATAAACGGCATTACAGCTAGTTATATGCAGCCAGATCAGGGTCTGGTGCGGCATAAACCACGGCAACAACAACCACAGCGACAGCGACAGAGTGTTGTGTTGGTGGCACTCGAAAGTTGAACTGTATATCTGAATCGGAACTCACTCGTTACTGGGCTGGGCCAAAGTCGTCTGGTTACTTTTGCATTTGGTTGCATGCTGCCCCTGCCCCCGTCTCCTGCATGACACGAAGCCATTTTATTGATACAGATACTCGTAGAGGCCAAATTTTGGGGTCCACCAAAAGAGCCGCTTGATGTCTGCTGTTTTTTGTTGTTTTTTTTTTTGGGCAATTCCTTTGCCACGGACCCGCAGCATGACATCATTTTGAGTTACTCCAAAATCCCAATTCAAGTCTTTTCGTGGCTGCAGCAGCCCTACACAGCGAAAAAACTGGTCGCCGTTTTTACTTTCGCTTTTGTCTTGACTTGACTTCATTTCGGTTTCTGTGCTGCTCTTTTTTGGCAGAGATGTTTCGATGGTCTCCATTTTTATGTTTTTGGGTCATCGCAAAGAAGTACCCGCGTATATGGCAATGAAAACGAAACCGAGTTCTGGTGAAAGTAGGTTGTCCCACCATCACGAAATGGAAAACGCATAACAAGTGCAAGTCAAAAGGAGGACCACATGGTCGGTGCCATGAGCACGCTGAGCGATTGTGTCATGGTTGGAGCCCACGCATCACATCGCATCGCCCACAAAGCCACCAAAAACCTCCACAGACTCTAATGATGTTAGACGCTTCGAAGACAACACAGGCACAGGTTGGCACTGACTTGGGACTTGGCTTTGGCTTCTTTTGATTTGGTTTTGAGTTTCGTCTTCGAGTGATTTGCTCATCTGGTTCGGTGCCCACACAGTTTGACTCTTTTTGGCTTTTGCGTCAGCCAGCAGAGATCAATGCGAAATGCCTATTTGTGCGAAAATTAATTAGAATTTTGTGGCTTTGAATATTGGCTGCTCTGCCGCTCTGGCTGGGAAAAGACCTTGAGTGGCAGCTCCAATCGAACCAAAGTTTGCGGTTCAAGAGACTGTGTGGGATGCACAAACTAGTTGGAGATCAGAGCAGCCAAATGAATCAGAGTTTCGACAAATGCGGCTTGGGTCATCATAAATCTGTTCAGCGGCTCCCGCTGATGGAAGCCTCGCAACATGACTTACGAATTACACAAAATGCCTTGTATCAATCTTCCATTTGGCTGAAAGTAGCTAAATCTCTTTCCCACGAGTTTCACTCGGCCATAAAACTTTAGTTTTATTTGCATTCAATAAAAGTTTCATCGACTAATGGCGCTTGTTAGCCCAGTCTTTTCTTTCCTACTGCAATCAATCGCGAAAAGTCTGTGTATACACAGCACATCAGGAGTGCCTTAGACTGAAACAAGTTTTTTGCTCGAGTCTTTTGATTTTGCAATTAAAATTTCTCCCTCCGATAAAGATCTCTGCAAAATGTGAAAGATGTGTCGCCTTTTCTGTGGAATGGGAATCACCAGCGAAGCATTCACTTGGGTATTTTGGGTCCCTTGGCTCATTTAATTGTGGCAATTTCTTTCGCCCACGCAGCGAGTGAGTCAAGCGCTTTGGCTCATAATTTATAGGCATTATTATTGTAATTTCTCCCAGACGCCGGAGACGGAGCAGATCGCACGCAAAACAATCATATATACACGTAAAGTGAAAGTTTTGCACCTTTTGCCGCACAGCAAACAACTAACAAACGCATCGGCATAAACAGTTTGAAGAAAACAAAAGTAGTCAGCCAGTCAGGCAGTCAGTCAGTTACTCAGTCAGTTTGGAGAATCTGTTAGCGAGTCAGTCAGTCAGTGCGATCCCCCCAAAGATGAGCCACGAACTCCAACCAAAGTACAACCCACGACCAGAGCAAAGACAATGGCTTTCAAATGACTGGCAGCAACTCGTATCTCCAACCAAAACTGGCGCCGACTGACTGACAAATGAGAGCTGCAGTAGTTGCTTTTTTCTGACCAAAACAAAACAAAAAAAAAAATCAAAACAAGACACAGCTAGAGATCTCCTACTGGCATCATCAATAAGCCGCAAGCAATTTGCGGCAAAAGCTGTGGGCAAAAGATTTCGACAAATATTCGCATGCCCAATGTGCGTTTGCCTTGGCCATAAAAATCACTCTCAAGAGTCAAACAAATCCGCCAAAAATCTAAACAATACCAGAAAAACAAATGAAGCTAGTCTAGCTTCGAAGAATTTAATACCCTTAAAGATATAGATATATTTTATTATTTTATAGAAAAATCTAAACGTAAAGCTTTCCCAAAGCTTATCTTCAGAAAAAAAAAACTTGTTCGCCCAAAGACTTGCTTTTCGATAGATATAAGCCTATTGAATATATATGAATTAGTGATTCGATTGAAGCAGTTCCGACTCATATATTTCTTGCAGCAATTCTAAAAAGGCCTTTGACAAATTTCAGCCAGAAACATGTTTATTGAATACCCTATATTTTTTGTGACCTCAGCCCTAAGCCCAGCTTCATTTTTGTCACTTTTTGGGACAATTGTAATGCCTTGAAAAACTCTTTCTTTGGACAAGCGAGCAAAAGTGTGTCAAGACAGCATTTGAAGCAATTATTTGTCATATTTTCTATTTGTGTTTGGGTTTCGTCTTCCACAAATGAGATGCAGAGAAAATAAACAGCATTAGTGGAGAGCTCATGACCAAAAATCCCAGTGACAAGGCGTCTTCGGGCTCGCTTCCATCTGCGTATTCATCTTCACCAAACTCTCGACTCATCAAATCTCACAATGACTTTGGCTTGGGATTTTTGCACAAATGAAAGTGAACGTTTCTTTTTGTTGTTTCCACTTTTTGTTTTCAACACTGCATTTGGGTGGAAAAAACGGAAATTTGTCATGTAAATTTTTGTATGCCAGCGTTATTTGTGTCAGTGATCTCAGGTCTTTTTCAGCTGGAAAATGGTGTGGGAATCTTTTTTTTACTTTGTATTGAGTATGTGGGGGAGACTCACTCAATTTGTTTGGAAAAGGTCTTGACACTTGTTAACTTTGTTTTTTATGTAGTTAAGCTTCAAGTATTAGTTATGGTTTTTTTTTAGATTATTTTTTATTACTAAATTAAAAATACTTTTCTAGTTTTTATTCAGATAAACTGCATGAAATGTGGAAATCGTCTCTAGGATTATTAAAAAATAGTTATTACTTTTTGGTTTGCTTTTTTACAATTTTTTCAAACTATACTTTCTGTATAATTCAAATAAATCATTTTCGAAATTTGTTAAATTTTTGTTTTGTCTCTCAAAACTCGTTAAATTATATTTGCACTTGTCACCAACTGGCACTCATCTCTATCTCTCCTAAAAATCCCTCGAATTGAAATGCTAATAAAAATGTTTTATATGATACTTAAAATTTGCACTTAGAAGTATCCAAAAAAGTTGTGCTCACCATTTTATTCATCAACTGGCGGCCAAAATCAGTTCATACTGCCAACAGCTGCCAAACGAAGATCGACGCCAGCAAAAAGCGTTGGCTTTTTTCTTCTTTTGGCTTGGCTTTTGCTGCCGTAGCAGCTGCCAAAAGCGATTTGCCGTCAAAAGAAACACACAGATACACAGGCACACACTGGATATATTTCTTATTTGCTGGGATCTAACGATATTTCACGCTTTTCTTGGAACACTTTTGATTGGTTTGCGCGCGTTTGGTTTTTTGGAATTTTCACAAGGTAAAATTGAAACAATTAACAGACGCCTGACGCAAACTTTCACTGCAATTCAATAAATATTTGTTGCTTAGATTATGCGCTCAGGCAGCAGCGTCTGCAGCTGGGTATCCGCCAACACACAGGTAACACTGTCTCTGTGCACACACACAGGCTGGTATACACTCGGTGCTCGGTACACACTGTACACACTTCGTAGGAGACCCGTTGGTAGAGAGAACCGCACCGCACGCGCGCTGAAAACGAACTGAAATGTGAAAGAGCTTAAAGCCACTGCCGATCTTCGTTGCGACTTCAAACTTGGCTTAAACTGGGCCTGTATGTGTGTGTGTGTGTGTCTGTGAGAGAGTGTTTTCTTTCACGGTGTTCGTGTGTGTTTATGTGTATTGGCTGTTAGGCAACTTTGCTGCCCACACTCGGCCCAGACGCTCTCTGCCCGCTCTGCTGGTCCATTTTTGGCCTGGACCGCTCGTCGCCAGCAAACCAGGCAATAGTTTTTTTTCCTCTTTTTTTCTTTTTTTTTATAACCAAGACGCCTTTGCAGATAAAAAAAAACCTATACGATTTGTGGCTAGCTTTTGATATTTTGTTGCTTGTTGGCTACCAAGTTTTCAGCTTGCTTTGACTTTTGATTGACGTAATTTTTGCGCTTGATATTCAGTTGAATTTCTTGTATTTCCACATTTAACCGTTTTGGTGTCAGGCGCACATTACACGCCCACAACACCCACACATATGCATATTTATATACACAATACACTGACTAATTGTGGGCGTGTATCTGCCTCTTTCTTAATGTTTCTTAAACATTTTGTTTCAACAAGAGTTTTGTGAACTTTCGCTGTGGCGCGGCACGGAACTGCTCGGATCGTGTGGGAGTGAAACCCCTATATGTAGGGTGTATAGCCATTGACTCATTCGATTTGCATGGCTGGCTTGCTTGCTGTCTTATGCTAATTAACCAGCTTAAACTTTGGTATTTAAGAGTTTTCCCCACCGAAAACGAAAGACTTAGGCAACGAACCTCATAGCTTTTGCTGACCAACAGCTGACCTTGCAGTGGGGGCCTGGACTATGTATATCAGATCGGGGCTGAGTACCCCATTTGGAGGGTCCCTGGCCCTATCGACACGGCGATCTTTATTGCAATGAAGTAATTTCCGCATGTAATGGGACAAGCGGCAGCAGCAGGAGTAGGCACCAGAATATCTCCCATCTTACGGTAACCCTTTTCTCTTTTGGAGAACGCCCCGTTTTGCACATTAATTTCTACGCCCCGCAATTATTTCATGCAGCAAATGAAGTATGAAGGAACATTAACGCAAAACGTGTGCCACATACCAAAAATGGGGTTAAAAAAAAACCACTAAAACAAAGTAAAAAATTAACAAGAATAATTAAAAATGCAAGCTTTGGGAATGCCAATGGAAAAAAAACCAAGAAAAGGATGAGGCATGACGACCTCCTGGTAGAGTGGTTTTTGCAACAGTTGCTGGCGTATTCGTTTTGGCCAACAGACAAAAGAGAGCCAATGCTCAAAGTGCAGTAAAACTTTTATTTGATCAAAAATAAAACCTGCTTTAATTGCCTAACTGTTGATGGCTAACTAAAAAAGGCAAAAACAAATTGTTTATTTAACAATTTTCTTCATTGAAAACTGGGTACAATTCAATTGAAGAACATCCAAAAAATATATGGGGGTAGTTTAGTTTAGTATCGAAATAAAATGCTATGTCTGCGAAAGTTGTACAAAGAATGAGTTAAGAAGGGCGCTTTTTTTTAGCAATGAATTCTGGAAAGTATATCAAAAGACAATGCTCAAAAAACATAGTTTCTAGCTCCGTTTAAATCATATAATTATCCTGCATTTATCTCAATCTTCAAGATTCCAAAGTAAACTTCAAGTCATAGCTGTGTTACCTTTGCCTTTAGAGTGCATTCACAGCCAAATCAAGCAAACTGCAACAGCTGCCATATGTGCCGCCACAGCGGCAACAAGTGCGGCTAATTTCATGCAAGTCTGATGTCTGATCGGCCACAGGAGGGGCTGAGAGACTGAGAGAGACTGAAGACTGAGAGCAAAACCCACACGCGTCGTCTACACTTGGCATATTTAACACATTTAATGAAAAATCAACAAAACATCAGTATTTATGATGGGCCAGGCCAGTCGATTCGACTGGGACTTGGAGTTGGTCTAGGGACTGCCCTCATTGTTGCTTCAGCTTCGAGGCGCCACATTGCCAGCCGCTGGTCCGCTGGTCCGTTGCTCCGCTGGTTGTGGCTTTATTAAGTTGCTGTTGTTGTGGCCGGTGCCCGGACCTGCCCAAAGTTGTCTGTTTTTATTAATAAGTCATATTTTTATATGGTTCAACCAAGAAGGTAGCCCCAGAAGCGGCAGCAAAGGCACGATAATTTATGTTGTTTGCTCGGGCTTCGAGGAGGATGACAAAAGTTGCAGCCGGACCAAGGGCAACAAGCGGCAGCCAGCTAGCTATGTGGGCTTATTCATAAGTCACTTACACACTCATTCACTCACACACTCGGGGCACTCATTCATTCATAAACAACCCAAGCAAAAGCTTAAAACTCGAAGCTCATTTTGTGATTAATTAAATGCAACTTTGCTTCGGTTTGTATACTCTTAAAGAGAGTTTTATGATTGCGACTAGATGTTTGCAAGGCAAAGGAGAAAGCCATACGTGAACAGCATCCTTAATTTCTAAAGATATTCAAGGGAAAATATTCCTATTCCCTTTCTGGATGTCACACCAAATCATTCATACCCTAGCTATCAAAAACAAAAATCCATCTCCAAGTGTAGCAAAATCTGCGACTTTCAATCAGACTTATTTTCTTGAATTTTCTTGGCGTTATTATGATTTTCGCTGTTGAAAAAGTGTGCCACTGCAACAGAGAGACTGAGACATGCAACAGGTTGCTGTGATGTAAGTGTTTATGGTTATTTACAACTTTTTTATGTCTTTATTAACATTTTATATCTTCTTATTTTTTTCGTAACTCTGTTAGTGGGCGAAAGTTTGTTGCCCAAGTCGTTTGCCGTGGGATGGATGATGCACTTTGCACCTGGCGAACCAGAAAGTCACTCAAACGTGGCCAATTGGCCTCCGGATAAACCCAAAAAAAAAACAACTGTGTCAAAGTCCTACTAATTTTGCGGGTTCATAGTCATTTTCCATTTTCGCGAAAAACATTTGCAAAAATATAATTGCAGAGTGGAAACACACAAAAAATTCGCGAAAAAGTCAGAAATAGTCCAAGCATTACGCAATCATTTAAACATCTAAATTCCAGTTTCAGTTTTCAGCACGAACAAATTGCAGGGCGTCAACGAATTAAGCAAATAGCAATAGCCATAGAAATGTTTGCTAATTTTTTTGTATTTTATCATGTGTTTTGTTTTTGTTAGTTTTAATTTTGTTGCCGGCACAGTTTTCACTCTTTTCAACTCTTTTTCAGCTGTTCAAATGTTTGAACATTGCACAAATATGATAGTATCGAGATCGGGGGAACGAACGTACACTTGAGAGACAAAACGAGAATCGATTGTTCCGCTGGCGAAATATCGAGCGTAGTGCACACAATGCCGTGCGCCGGCAGACTGACTCTCTGGATCTCTCTCTTTCTCTCTGTGTGTCTCTGTCTCGGTTGCAGTTACGATCGTGTTGGCCAAGTTAACAGGCCTGGCCAACAGCTGACATACAGCTCTATGGCTCTCTATGGGGGCAAACCTTAGAAAAGGCAAAAACTAGTTTCGTTTAAGTGCGGAATGGCATTTGAAAAATCAGTTTGAACGTATAACAGTTTCAGATTGAGAGAGACAGAATGGCCAGTGAGAGGGAGAATCAGTGAGAGAAAAACTAGATAGAGAGAGAGACACACAATCAAAGTGGCAGAGACACCGAACTGAGCGACTGACTAATTTGTTATAGCTATTGTATTTGTCAAGTCAACTGATAAATTGAGTTGATATTGAAAATAAATTAATTATATCTTCAAAAAATGGAACAGCGGATTTTCATTGGGATTAGGCAAGCATTGAAGTTGGATCTGAAGCCCGAAGCGGATCTTGTACTTGTGGATTAAAAATTATGATTTCAATTTTGATTACCTTTCAAAATGAGGTCACAATTGTATATAAATGCGTCATGGCATACTTCTAATATGAATTTATAAATAAATTTATATAGAATTCAGCTTGCAACTTGTTTCTGCTGCGATGAAAAGAGTTCTACTTCAAAAATCTTGCTTAATTCATGGGTATAAAATAGCTAATCAAATTCACATAAATAATAATCATACAATACTGGTAATGCTTCTTCTAGATGTTTTATACAAATCGTTTCCAGTTGAGCATGTCATTAATTTTATTTTCCTGTTTTTCAAGAGAACATCATCAATTAGAGGATGGCTTTATTAATCAAGTCAAGTGCTTATCAGAGCTGATATCAAGGCGATACGATACTGAAGAAGTAGGCCAGTTGGCGGAATCTGCCAGTGGTCGGAAATTAATGATGGGGTCTTCATCAGCAGGTGGGACTACATTCAAGTATTTTCTTATTGGATTTGATTTCTTATTATGCCTTGAATGGGCTGTTCGAATGGATACATGTAAGTAGATAAATCTTCTGTTCATTAAATAAGCTTCATTGATGTTCATTTCCTAAAATTATACTGCATTGAATCTTCGTAATTATACTAGTTTTGGATGGGTAACAAGAACACACACATCGATAGTATAGGAAAGATATTTACCATTAAAAGTATGAATAGGATTCTTTAAAGCTTTTTCAAATAGTTTTCCTCTCTCCCATTTATCAATAATGTTTTATTTTATTATTTATTATATTTATTATTTATTTTATTTTATAATAGCAATTTTGTTTACCTATTTTTTAACAAAATAAAAAGTTTTGTTGCACACCTTTTATTTTAATTGCTTTAACGTTAAAATGTTTTACTTGAACCCGTTCCGCCTGTCTTTTTTTGTACACTTTAACATTTAACTTTTATTAGAAATGCAAAAATGTAACGAATTTTGTACGCTCAATTTGAGTCACGTTTTAAATTTTTGCTCAGATCCTTTGGCCGATAAAAAAAAAGACTTTACTTGTGCTTTCAGTTTTTTGGCTTTTGGCCAGCTCCAAAGTCACGTTTCCCCCATAGACGCCACGTACGCATCATGGGGGTGCAGTCGCAGTTGCAGAACCAGTCGCCAGTATACTCGTATGTACGGTTTATGTTATTTGTTTGCTAATTTATTTATGTTTATGATTTTTACTCCATTTGTGGAAATAGGTAAATGTTTAAAGCGGAGCTGCTTTGGGAGGCTTGCATAAGTACTTTAAATAATTGCCAGGCCAAGGCGCCCATATGGTATGCTCATACATACATATATGCGGTGGGCTTCCCTTTCCCCCCGTCATTATGATTTATTTGACTTATACCGCTCTACCCCGCCGATTGCATTGCATAAGC